TAGACCAATGGCCAGAGGCGCAGAGGCACTCTACGAAGCCATATGATAATGGCTAGACTCATACAAGTCTAAGGTGCATACATGTGCATATACCATAGTCCAGCAGCAGTGAGGGCAGGGGAGAAAGGAGGGAGAGACGCTGGCGGTCATGCCGATGGTAGGGCCCATGCCGTACCAGAGCTGAATGCATCGTCGCGTGTTACTTTCCGTCCTTCACAACAATACATTGGACTACTGACCTGCTTACTATACCAAGTACTACTGAGAACTGATATTTAGTGAGTAGAGCTAATGACTTCCGTGGTTGTATATATACATACTAACTCATACGTAGCCGATGATAGACTGTTTTATCCGCCGGCTAAACTCGCATTCAGGCAACAGGCATTCACACAGCTTTTCTCAAGCCGGCGAAATCAATGCGGGAGCCTCGGCAATCTCCAAGCCATTCACCGTGTTGGATTTGGGGACAGATTCCGGAACTTTTGTAAGCAGTTGTAGTATTCCAAAGTCGGGGACGTCTGTTGCAGTTTTGCTGCAGGGCGCATCAGAAGCCAAAAAGTGGGAACGACGCGGAGTTTTTATCGCTCTGTGTCCATGAATGGTGACCAGTAGTATGTCATTTTGGTGGCTCGACCTGTGGGATGCTCGCCGCTGATGGCGATGGGACTTTCCGACCATGCATGGCCTGCTGAGCACGGCGAGTCTGGTCGATCACCCTTCGAAGGGGTTTGGCGGCGAATCACCTGCAGAAGCGTAATTGTCAATGGTTCTGAAATCTCGAGAGTTCGACGGAGAGCGCGATGGTGCACAAAAAGGTCAATTGGTCACGCGCTGAAAACTGTTTATCACCTGACCGTGGCAAACATTATAATGATTCAGGGAGTGACACATTGTATTGAGATATCTATTGTGTAATGGGTTGATGCAAATAATTGGAACGGAGAATCGGCGAAATGAGAAACGCACGGAATGCAGTGACTGACTGTGATTTGAAGTGTCTTAAATAAGTGCCGCATGAATGCGAACGCCTCTCTGACGTTATAGGTTGCGAGTTATCGCAATGCTTAGGAATCTTCGCTCTTGTGAACAGAAAACAATCTGATTAAGAGTTCTCGTTGAAATGGGGTTCTGTGTACTCCTCTGTCGGACTTCCGACCAAGCCGAGATCCGCTTCACGCATCTTTGCGGCTGTGCGATCTGCTGCTGTGCGGCCCTCCAGGTCGCGAAGGTTAACGGGACCAAGGCCCGCAACACTGAGTCGAGTTGGGGCATCTGGCGCCGGGCGCGCAGAGATGGAAGAGGATGAGGTGGAGGGTGCCGCTGCTTGCGCCCGCGCCTCTGCAACTCCAACTTGCTCGCTTGGTTTCGGCGCCTGCCGTAGGCTGAATGTTCGTCCGATTGGGAGAAGCGGTTCCGTACTTGTCGGCGTGTTGTGCGTCGACACACTCCCGTGTGAGTCTGGTTCCGGCCAGCCCCACACTTCCGCCACAAAGCGGGCCAAGTCCGGCTGTGGGACTCTCGTTTGGCTCTTCTTGACGAAAGGATGACTCATCATCTTGATAGGTCCGGGCCGCTTGATCCCATCCTTCTCAAGACAGCGCGCGATAAAATCGCGAAGTGCCTTGGACCACTTGACACCGACGCTCTCATCGTCTTGCAGCTCTGGTACCTTCATAGATATGACATACGAGAGCAAGTCGATTGGCCCCAGTGGCGGCTCGCCCTCAGGCGGAAACGGAAATCGGTTTGAGGCAAGCTCGAGGATCGTGAGGCCTAAAGACCAGACGTCTGAACTGATTGTGTATGGAAGCCCTTGGATGCGTTCCGGCTGAGGATGTAAGGGGGTCAGCTTGGCAAGCGCAGAATGTATGTCTCCTTTTCAAAGGCGACTCACAGCCATGTAATAGCTCGTACCGGTGAATGTGCCAGCCATCGAGTTAATCAGCTCCCCAGAGACGCCAAAATCGCACAGTTTGATCTGCCCTTGCCGTGTGACGACGATGTTGGAGGGTTTGATATCTCGATGGATGATCTTGCGCTCGTGCAGATACCCAAGCCCCTTTAGTACGCATTCTGAGATCTTGCCAAGAATTTTTTCACCTGTCCGCCCGCCCCTCGCTTTCACTCGCTTGTAGATCGCCGCGAGACTGCCAGCTTCGCAGTATTCCATGCAGATGGCAATGGACGTGTCCTCGTCCTCCAGGAACGCGCCGTAGTAGCGCACAATGTGGTCCGAGTGGCAAGTCCGAATGAAGGACAGCTCTCGCAGGATCTGCCGGTGAATCGCCGGATTTGGAGATGTTGCAATGGTCTGTGTAGCAAGCCACCTTTCCATCAGTAAAGGGAATTGACACGCGTCGCTTTCAGCAGGTAAGCTCACTTTCTTGGCCATCAACAATCCTGTTGGTACGTGCCTCGCTTTCTTGACTTCACCACTTGCGCCTTCCCCAAGCCGCCCGAGGATTTCAAGGTTGCCCTCGAGCACTAGATCGTCTGGTACCCTGCTCGGGCCTGCAATTCCATTCTCCCCTTGCTTGGGTCCGACAGGCAGCTTGAGATTAGAGCCCGCGCTCATTCCGTCCTCCTGGTAGGATTTCCCATTGCGCTTTGCGCTGTCGTCCACGCGCATCCCACCAATGGCTCGGCGCAGGTCGTTTGTCATCGCTGTAAAGTCTGTCGCACCCGGTTGCTGGCCTTGCGGAACCGTATCTGGATACAGGCTTTGAGTGCCACATGCAACGGTGGTGCTAAAGCCTGCAGAGCCTTCGTACCCGTCATTCTCCTCAAAGGGACCCGTCGCAAGCGATAGTGCTAGGGCACCTGAGACAGTTGCGCCATTCGTTCCACTGATGCTTCCATTAATATTCGAATTTCTTCCCGAGCTCCATGTGCTGTCGTTCGTCTGCGATGCAGTCGATGCGGAGGAAGGCCCTGAAGAGAAAAAAATGAGCGAGGCCATGCATCTGAGGTCTGAGATCGCAGCCCCGCAGTGACCTGTCGCACTGAGTCACTCACTTGAAGGGATGCTCAGCTTTGGCATACCCGGCCGCTTTGCCGGCTTTGGAGGTATGATTGACATTGTAGTTGTCTTGAGACTGCGGAGTCCTGTCTCTCCAAGTGACGACAATGAGTGGGACTGTTGGGATGACGGGGACAGTCAGCTACGGCAGCGTCCCACGTGGTGCTACTCCCTCGGCTTTGGGCTTCACCACGATTCCAGCTGCTTGATACCATAAGCCAGCGAATCAAAATGACGGGCCGAAGGAGAACCAGCAACCGATGCCTTGTGCACCCTGACTAAGGTTGGTCAGTCATTCTTCGAGTCGATTCATTTGAATTTCGTAGAGCCCACAGCTTCCACGCGCCACAGGCCGCAGGCGCGCCGCTCGAAATATTTGTTTATTCGTGCTACAGGGAACGAGCAATGGGATGCACATTACACTCCATGTACAGTGGCTTGGCTTCCCTCCACCAACTTCGGCTATCAATTGGGGGCTGCGCAAGCGGTTTGAGCATCCGGATCACTGAAGCAAGCGGCAATGTCGGAAAGCCACACGAGCGGCAGTCGCTACAACGAGTACGACCGCTCCAGAGGCGGCAGCAGCGTGCACGGGCACGACGAGTACATTCGAGGTGGGCGACGCGACAGCGACTATAGGGGAGGTGCATCACGATGTAAGCTGCTACGCGCCTTGAATCCCTCATGACTCCTCTGACGCATCCTGACGCCCATCCGATTTGCCTCTACCAGACGATGAGGGTCCTACAGAACTAGACTACGGGCCTCGGGCCGGCAGTTCGAGCGCAGCAGCATCTGCTTCAAGGGGCGATCCTTCCCGTGGCCGTGACCATTACGACAGAGAGCGCTCCTCTGCACGTCCGCCCTCAGGAACTACTAGCAGATATGATCGCGAGGCTGGAGATTCACGCTATGGTGGAGGCCGGAGAGATGAACGACGGGGCGCAGCACGGGACCATTGGCATCAGCCGTTGGACCCGAGGTCAGGCAGAGACTATCAGCGATCTCGATCACCTGATTACCATCGCAGAGATGTGCCACCGCCCCGCGAGGGGATATGTCGGAACCGTAGCCGCAGCCCAGCCCCAGCAACACGCAGATCAGACCGGAGCGAGGGTGACGACGACCGCTGGCACGACGTGGATCATTCACGAGGGGAAGAGCACGCACACAAAGCTAGGCCCTCATCTGGTCGAGCCGACAATCGTCGAGGTGAAGAGCTAGAAAATGGAACAGCGGAAGCAGATGAAGAGTCAAGGACGCAGCCTGCGGGTGATGAACAGCAGGAAATGATGGCTGCCATGGGCTTTGGTGGGTTCGGGACGACCAAGGGCAAGAAGATTGACGACGCGAGTCAGCTGGGCTATGCGAAGATCAAGCAGGAGCGGACATGGAGACAGTACATGAACAGGTATGCACTAGTCCTCCTAACAAAAGCTACACGCGAAAGGTGTCGAATGTCTAAGCTGACGGAAACGCTCTTTTTATTGCACCTTTAGAAAGGGGGGTTTCAATCGCATCTTGGACAAGATCAAATGATTCGGGAGCTCTCAAACAATGCCCAGAATTGCATGCTAGACTCCGTCCTTTCAAACTGCTGCTCATCGGTCATCTATAGTGTCTGTGAAGTGTCCTGTGTGGCTGGCATTGAAGCGCGGGGTGTCTTGTTAGTAAGGCATCTAGTCCGTGAGGTTGTGATCTTTTCCTGCACATGGAATGTCATCGAAGTGTTGTAATGCGAAGCTCCTTTTGACTGAAGGCGCATGGCCGGAGACGCAGATGACGAGACGACTGATTAGGGTTGAGTCGAAGACGCGACGCAATCGATACCCGCAACGACAGTTCGTGCACGCTCAAGCTCGCTCTTTCATTAACCTCGCAAGCAAGTTCGTATACACACGCATTCAGGCGATCAAGCGGGTCTACTGCTTAAGAGGCTGATCAAAGCGACAGTTGTGCAATCAGCAGGTGAGCGACGTCAGCACCAGACCTTGCAAACAGTCCATATCCAAGCTGATCTCTTGCTGAGAGGATCAGGTCTCACGCTCGTCCCGAGACCTGGCCAGGTAGGCGTCATGTCGTCGTCGCCAAGGTGAGTGCACGACTCGACTTTCCCCGCGCAGAGCATTCGCACTCATTAAATTCCTTTCTTGGGACCTTCTCTGCATTACTATCCGCTGACTCTTCCAGATTTGACTACTATCAGACAGACACATCCGTGACTGTCACGGTCTTTGTCAAAGGCGTGACAGAGGACCGCCTCGATGTCCAGTTTGGCGAACATAGCGTAAGTCGACATGGCATTTCTATCACTGTGATGGAGCTCTACTGACAAGCGACAATGACATGTGCCACTTACCCTTCTCCTTTGGCAATGGCAGCTCCATGTTGCGATCAAAGGCGCCGATGGATCAGAAACAGCGCTCAAGATCGATCCGCTTTTCGCTTCCGTGAATGCTCAAGCATCTGCATACAAGATCCTGAGCACAAAAGTCGAAGTATCTTTGGTGAAAGCCGCACCCGGGGTCCGGTGGGCAGGATTGCAAGGTGACACTGGGGGGATTATCGCTGGAAGCAGTAAGTTTCGACCTTGTTTGATGTCACACTGAGGCGTGTAGAGCTGACACAATGCCCTCGGCCCCTTCAGCGCCGGCATCCTCAGCCGTCCCGAGCTCGTCGACAATACCAATGAGCGTACCCACTGATCCTGCCGCAGAGTCAAGCAGCGGCCCATCCGCATCTGCACCCGGCAAGCGGCCTTCCAACAAGTGGGACGCACTCGATTACGACACATTGGCAGAAAGCAAGCAAGAGGAGGACTCGGACATCAACAAATTTTTCCAAAAGATTTACGCAAATGCCAACGAGGACACAAGGCGGGCGATGATGAAGAGCTTCCAGGAGAGTAATGGGACAGCACTCTCGACCAATTGGGAAGAGGTGGGTAAGGGCAGGGTCGAAACTCAGCCGCCGGATGGCATGGTGCCGAGAAAGTATGGTGCTTAGCCTAGATAAGCTACAGTTCGGAAACTGTGCCATACACAGCACATAGCTGTTCGGGCCTCAAGAAACAGATGCATTAATGCCTTGCGATTCGGCACCTCAAAACTCAATGCTCACTGACCGATGCGTGGGCAACGATTCCGATTCTAACTGTGCTTCCATGCGTATTCCGCGAATGCTTTCAATTCGACATACTGCTTCGCCAGCAACTCGTCCTCGCTCAGCCCTGCAGACATTATTTTGCTACTACTTCGGCAGCTCTCCACAGCCTCTAGCGAGTCGACAAAGTCATACGCACCGCTATTGCCTCAGTTCAGTTTGTTGACGTGCAAATATTGTCCCTGCCGCCACCACCAGCAGCTATTCCAAAATTACTTTTCGCTTCGGTGTGCTGGGTGCGCAAAGAGCTCGGCTGAGCATCATCACCAGCTGCTCTCCAAGCCCGGCAACGAATCCCAGCTGAGGACATACAGATAGAATGTACCATGTTGCTCGTCATGTTCGCTTCATCGGCCTTAGCGATCGTGTGTGCCCCATCAATCGAAGCATTGAGCAGATTCAGACTCACTCGCACCACATGAGAAGCGCCTTGAGATTCAAGTGCGTCAATCTGCCGCATGAGCTTCTCAACCGCCTGCGAAGGAACCAGGCTTGGCAACCGAGCACGCTCGAAGAGCGGCAGAAGTGAAGGTGGCAAGCGACCGAGATACCGGCATGGTGACGGCAGCGTCAGCTTAATGACACTTCCTGTGCCTCAGCTTGTGGCCCTCACTTGGAAGATCCGAGCAGTTTTGGGAAGCGTCAACGATGGTTTAAATGCAGCAAGCATACATTGTCGGCACAAACACCGGCAACCCCGTTTACATTGCCACTTGCACCCATAGCATATGTTGGGTTGTAGGTTCAGAAGCACAGCCAAACCGCGCCCGGCAACAATTAAAGATGACATGTGTACGACACGCCAGCGCTCGGGACGCGCTAACAGCGCGCGAGGATGGATGAGTTGAGGAGTGAGTCTTCGGGTGACGTCAAGCCAGTATTGTCACGTGACTGGCACACAATCGAGTAAGCCCTTCGAATGCATACCACAAGCAAATTCGTGTCGATCAAGGTGATTCTTAAAGGAATGTGCGTCAGAACGGAACCGTTCAGTGGGATTGGTGTCCAGACTCCAGGGATGGCGATGAATGAGCGTAGAGGATGGCTGTTGAAACTGTTGTTCTAGCAAGCTGCTGTTGGCAGCGCGTTGTGTCCGGAGAGCGAGAGCCGGATTGCGACTGCCGGAGACGACAGCAACCACTTCACCGGGTTGAATGTCAGAATAAGGCTTGCCCAGAAGCAGGGTTCCCTTTTTCTCTTTCATCCCCCATCAAGCGCCTCCATCTTGCTTCCTCATTCTGGAACAGTTTCACTTCCGACCGTTCGCCGCCCGCTTCACGTCAGGCCATAATTCTGCTTTCTTCGAGTAATTAGCATTACATTGCTCGACGTAGATACTGCAAGATACTGCTGCACGATGGAACAATTCTGTGCACGTCGCTTGAGAAGAAAGAGATGTCGCCTCAAGCTGCTTGCGCCATAGTATTTCATCTTGCTCGTTGGAGTGGGTGACTTGGCTGGGTTGGGTTCAGGGATGGCGAAGAGAGGCACTGTGGGTTTCGCTTGTAAACTCGTATTGTAATGAACAGGTATTAACTCCCTTGAATAGTATTGATTCTGAATGCTACGTACGTTCGATGGGCGTCTTCACATCGACATGCTCCTGATACGGCTACCACTACTCGCGGGCTCGCCGAGGTACTTGTTCTGGGGCGTCATACCCGCAGAGCGCTCGGCAGCGGCGATAGAAGCCACGTCCGCGAGCTGGGTGCGCGGGTCGAAGTGCTTCGGCGATTTGAATGTGTAGCCCTGCAATCGGAAAAAAAGGACGTCACACTTGAACGGTCGACGGAAATCGAAGCAACCTGCGCCGCGTTCGGTCATTACTCACAACAAATGCAAGCTGCTTCCTCATCTCGAGCAGGTGCTGACCATGAGTCTTGTCACGCAGCATCGGATCGCGCGGCTGGTCGGCTGCCGGGTTGGCGCCTTCCGCCGCTCCGGGAGCCGGCAGCGGCTCGTCGTCAATGTCGTCCTCAAAGTGCTTCGTATCGCCGGGGTGCGAGAGCGCCGGCTTGAACGGCGGCGACATGCGGTGGAGGTGGCCCCAGTCGACGGTACGGAACCACGGATGCGCCATGAGCTCCTCGACGCCATCTTGCAGCCCGCTCACGCCGCCTATTGCACCACTGCCTGCGGCAAACCCAGAGCGACGGGCTCCCTGGATGATTGAGTTCGGTCTGGAGACAGACGCGGTCGCTGCGCTGCCGAGGCGATCTTCCTTTTCGCAGATGAGGTGCGAGATAAAGTCCTGAGCGTCTTTCGAGACCCGCGGCTTGAGAGGGAAGCGGAGCGTCTGGCGCCAGTTCAAGATCTTCTGCCGCGTCAAATGACGTGACTTGGAGACAAAGGGCGGGTAGCCATAGAGCATCTCAAAGACAATGACGCCCAGCGACCACCAGTCGCACGACTGGTCGTAGCCAAGACCTCGCAGAACTTCAGGTGCCATGTAGTTGTTAGTGCCTGCAGAGGAGCGTGCGCATGATTAGCTCTGACCTCGCTGAAAGAGCCTTCATGGAAGTAACGGCGCACTCACCAACAACAGAATAAGCGATCTTCTTCTTGTTCTTGTCTCTCCAAGTGAGCACGTGCGTCATGGGTGTACCATCCTCGTTTCTGTCGCTCATGATGTCATGCAGCTCCTTCTCGTTGAGGTTGCCTCCAGCTGGTCGAACGGACCTGCCTACCGCGCCGCCTGCTCCGCCAACACCGCCTGCCGCCCACCTTTTGGCGGCAGTGTTATCCTCGAGGTCAATTCCATGCTTGCGCAGGAGGTGCTTGCGCTGCTGATCGTAGTAAGCGCCATCGTGCGCCCAGTGGAAGCTCTGGCAAAGGCCAAAGTCGGCGAGCTTGACGTGGCCGGAAGAAGTGAAGAGGAAGTTGTCTGGCTTGATGTCGCGGTGGATGTATCCGAGGCGGTGCGCCTCGTGAATAGCGAGAATCATTTCGGCTACGTAAAAGCGCGCGAAGTCCTCCTCGAAGATGTCCTTTTCGATCAGCAGGTTGAGCAGGTCTCCACCGCCCATGAATTCCCTAAGGAAAGATGCGCGCGAGTCACAAAATGTAAGAAGAAAGAGCATGGTCAGACCCTCACGCTCTGTTTCTCAGCGGTCAGACACGGCTCCACGGGCAGGCTCACATGATGAGATAAAGGTGGTCGACGTCCTGGAAGCTGTACACGAGCTTGACGATCCACTTTGCGCTGGCGCTGGCGCTGGCGCTCGTCATGAGGTCCCGCTCGGCTCGCACGTGGCCCTCCTGGCCCTTGCGTAGCATGTCGGCCTTGCGCAGCTGCTTCATCGCGAACAGCTCGCCAGTGCCGCGCTCGCGGACGAGCGCGACGACGCCAAAGGCACCATGGCCGATCGTCTTGAGCTTGCTGAAGCTGTTGGCGCTGACACGCGCGCGCACGTCGCGCAGGTACTCAGTCTCGTTGGCGATCCAGCGTGCGCGGATTGCCTCCTTGGCCGCATCCGAGATGCGCAGCGCGGCAAGCTCCGCCTCGAGGCCAGCCCGGCGTGTATCGCGTGCGCGCGGCTTCTTCAGGATACCGTAGTACAGGTTCTCAAAGTAGATCTTCGCCGCCACACTTTTCTCGACCGTCGTCAGGCTCGGACGGACGTTTGCGCCGAGCGGTATCAGCGCACCGTCGCCTCCTGCAGCTGCAGCTGCCTCTGCTGCCGCGTCGCCGCCGGGGAATCCAACAGCACCGGCACCTGCGGCTTTCTCATTGCGGAAGACCGTAGACAGCGGCCGCTCTAGGGCAGCGACGCCTGCGTCGGGAGCACCAAACAGCGCGCCGATACCGCCAGACATCATGCCGGCGCGACCAGCAGCAGCGCCTGGAAGGCCGTCGTACCTGCTCGCTCTCTTCTCCGCGTCGCCTTGGCCAGAGGCCGGCGATACAGGTGGCTTATAACGCATGTAGTCCGGCGCTTGCTGCTGCTGCTCGGGCGAGGGATTGATCACGAGCGTTCCAGCCGAATTGGTGCGCGGCATGGGAGGCATGGGGGGCGGCACGAGGCGGCGCGGTGAGCCTAGTGCTGATGGTGATGTTGTCGCGGATCCTTGCTGAGCTCCTGCAGCGCCGGGGCTAGGAACTGGCTTGCGCCCACTAGGCGAGGCGGTGCACTGTGGGCCAAAGACGTCGTAGCTTTGCTGCTGCTGCTGTTGGGGAAGAGGCCCAGCCTGTGACGCCTCCTCGGCAATGCTCATACCAGCAAAAGCCCGCACGGGGCTCTGCGGCGCGCTGGCACCCTGTTGCCCAGCGGCGCTGCCGCCGACGGTGGAGGCGGCAAGCGTCGCGACGCTACTGGCTGTAGACAAGTTGCTCGGAACGCCATTGACGACTTGCAGCGGCGCGCGCTGGGTCGCCGGATGTGCTGCCGCGCCGGCTGCGCATGCAACGCCAGCGTCGCCTCTGCTGCCGCTGTTGTCGAGGATGGCGCTCTCATCCGCATGCAGCGCGGCCTGGATCTGCGCGATGGCCTCGGCCTGGCTGCGCGCCTGACGGCTGCGCACTGCGTCCTTGAGCGGCGCGACCCAGTCCCAGTTGGGGTCAGCGATCTTGCCGACGCCGAGCGGCTCGCGCGACCAGCGCCGCAGGATCGCCTCAGCCTGGTCCGCGTCGCTCGCATGTGCGGCATGCACAAACGTGCCCACTTGCGGCGCACCAACCATGTCAATGCTGATGCGCTTCTTTGTCGCACGCACCGGCTGCGGCGCAGCTAGGCCGGCGCCGGCGCCGGTCCATGATGGCATGTGCAGTGGCTGTGCCAACGAGTGGCCACTCGCCGCGGAGGAGAGGTGCGGGTGCTGTAGTTGAGGCGCGTGCAAGCCGGCGCCTTGATGCTGGTGTTGTTGTTGGTAGCTGGTTGGCGTCGCCGGTCTCGAGTTGCCCCTCGCTTGCTGGTGCGGCGGGACCATGTCGAAGATCGGCCCGCCGATGAGCTCCTCGCCGCCGGCGCCGCCGACGAGCGACAAGTCCGCAGCAAAAGTGTTATTGTTGGTGGTGGCGTTTCCTCCACCAGGGACATTGAGGTTGGCGCTGCGGCGCCGTAGCGCACCTGTTGCCTTGCTGAACGTCGCCTTCAGCTTCGACGGGGACGACGGGCGCGAGCCGCTGCCGCCTTCGGCGTCCGGGAAGCGCGGAGGCGCCAGGCGCGACGGAGAGGAAAGCGGCGAGGCCGGGTTCGCGGCGAGCGCCATGATATCCCAGAAGCCCTTGTGCTGAGGTCCGACGAGAGGGAAGAGATGCTTCGTCAGTCACGCACAAACAGGAGCAGCAAGACTGAATGAAAGCGCACCATGAAAGCGCTCCCTTTGTTCCCCTGTCCACCGCCGCGTGTCCAGCTGGCGTCTTGCGCGCCTTGTCCCTGCTGCTGCTGGCCAGGCATGGCGAGATTGTTGGCGTTGGTGTTGCTGTGGCGCCGGAGCCTGCTGCCGGGGTTGCTCGCGAACGCGGCGAGCCCGCCGGTGAACGAGTTGCGGTGCGGGTTCGACGACGCGGGGCCGTAGCTGCGCGGCGCGCCAGCAGGGAATTGCTGCTGCTGCTGCTGTTGTTGTGGGAAAGCGTATTCGCCAGGTTGGGCCGGGGCAACATACGCGCTGGAGGAGGCGGCAGAGGGCGAAGCATGTGCTGCTGCGCTGGGAGGGATATTGGAAAAGTATTGCTGCTGCTGCCGGTAGCGGGCCGACGGGCTCAGTGGGGGCCGTAAGCCTGCGGCGACATTTGCATCAACACCAACGCCAGCAGGGAACGATTGCTGTCGCTGCTGTTGTTGCTGCTGAAAATGCAGCAGCAGCAGCTGGTGATGGGGCGGCAGTGCGTGGATATAGCTGGGACGCATGCGCTCTTCGTGCTCATACCATGCCGCTTCGTGCTGCTGCTGCTGCTGTTGCTGTTGCTGCTGCTGCTGCTGCTGGTTGTCGTGGTAATGGGAGTAGGGGGACAGGGGCCGTCCCTGGGCTGTCATGGGCTGCGGCAAGGGCCGAGCGCCGCCGGGGCGGGGAGAAGCGGCGGCCATGCTGCTGCAGTTTACACGAACAAGTAATGGTGACAGTGATGTTGAGAACGAGGAAAGGAGAAGGGTGCAACGCGGGCTATACCTGGTAATTGATGTCGCAGCTCCGACACGCCGACCAACAACAATGCCGGGGGTGGGGGTGGGGGGCGGGGCGAGCGACGTGGAGAAGCGCCGGGTCCACGAGAGGATGGCCCCAACGTGCGGCGGCTGTGAGAAAAGAGGTGAGGCGGTGCGGTTGGCAGGCGAGAGTGAGCGAAGATATTGCCGTATGTGACCTGCTGGCAAGCCCCTCCCACAAAGTGAACACGATTGATGAGGGTGCGGTGCGTCGTAACAAGATATAAGTGTATAGGGGGATGGGCCATTGCGCCACTCATTTCCTTGTTTAGCAGCTCACAAAGGACGCGCAATAAAAGAAAGGAGGCGGCGCGTGCACACACTTGCCACATATTACGTAATGCATGGCTTGGGGGCTCGGCGCGCGCGGGTGCTGTGCTGGAGCTCGTGGTTTGCTACACACTGTGCCCGCACCGCATGTGTTGCTGCAGTCTGCACAGTCTCATCCATCCTATTCTCGGAACCTGTCCAATCGATGAGAGAAGATGCGAGCGATGGATGTGCTGCTGCTGCTGCCCACTCAACAGTACCCCGCTCGTTCATGAAATGACAGTCAGCGTGTCGCAGTCATCAGCCACTGTAGTCCACTGTCCCGGGATGGCCACGAGCGGGCAACATCTTTTTCCGTCCGTGAAGTGCCTGCAGAGAGGAGAGGAAACGAGCGCGGCCGTGTCTCGGCAGCCTCTCTTTCTTCGATGCCATGCATGGATGCTATACTAGATAGACTATGCACGTGGAGGGCAGCGCGGACACCAGCTACGAGCCAACCCTTTTCCTCGTCTTCCTACAGCTGTTGGCATTCTGCGTGGCTGGCCGGCTACACAACCCCCCGCCTCCAGCATGCGCCGTCGAACAACGCGTCGTCTACGGTGAAGACATAATCCGCCCAATAGCGCTGTCCTGCACTGAACTGCTGGCGCAAAGTTGCTGCTTCAGCACATCCTCATTCAGCTTCCAGTGCACAGACACGTACTCATTGTCCAAGCAGACCCGCAGCCGCCCGTGATGCGTCCGTCGTGCTGCTGGAGCAACAGATCGAACTATTGTTGTACAACCAAATATCCACAATCAATCTTTTGCTGCGCTACAATCACAAGAAGAGGAAATGTCACAACGCCTCCGCTGCAGCCGCCACTTGAAGCTCTCCTCCTCATCGACTCCACTGCGGTGCCTTCTTGTTCTTGCCTTTTCCACCAGCAGCACCACCACTAACTACCCTCTTTTGACCCGCTGCTGCTGCTCCATGCCCTGAAGAAGAGAGCCCATTGGACTGGTGCGGATGCCGCGTCTTGCCATCACTACCTGCCCGCTCGCCGTGTGCCTTCCTTGCACGCTTACGACGCTCCTCCGACACGTCCCCGGCATCGTTGTCCTCGCCATCCTCCTCCTCATCATCATCTGCACCAATCTCCTTGCGCTTGCCCGAGCCCTTTGCACCAGCACCAGCGGCGCCCTTGAGCCCCGCGCCGATACTGAGGTTGACCTTGGGCGGCACGGCGAACCCGAACGCCCTGCCGACCTTGGCGAGGTCGAGTGCGTGTACGTCAAATATGCGCTTCAGGCTGTAGCTACCATATGCCTGCAGGTAGCTTCGGTACCCGTCGCGCGCGCTCTGGTGCAGGTAGTAGTTCTTGCCGATCAGCTTCTCCAACTGGCCCTGCACATTGGCGACCTTGTTCAGAGGGAACGTGTACTCGTTCAGCGGCACCTTGGCTACCTTGAGGAACCGCAGGAAGCCCAGCTCCGACGGTAGCAGGAATAGCAGGGACTTGCCCGCCTTACCCGCACGCGCAGTGCGCCCGACGCGGTGGATGTAGTCCCTGAGAGCAACAACAGCGTTGGAAGCTGGCATCAGCAGGTAGACAAAACACACACACACACACACACGAAAAGCCATTAGAACTTGCGCACCTCGGGTCATCAGGCGGGTCAAACTGAATGATCCAGTCAACTTTCGGGATATCGAGGCCACGTGCAGCAACGTCTGTACATAGCAGCGTGCCGGAAGGTGCATTGCAGAATTCAAAGAAGGTATTTGTCCGTTTCTGTTGCTTTTGCTTGCCCTGTAGATGAAGGAAAAGCATGTCGGTCAGCGCATGGGGAAAGAGCAGAGTTTCCAGCGACAAGACAATCACTCACGTGTAGGTCGAGAACAGGTACATCAATGTAATTGAGCAGCTCGCCATGGTACTTCACGCTATTGCAGCTGCTCATGAACACGATCACCTTCTTGTTCTTGTTCTTCTTGAGGAAGGTGAACAGAAGCAAGAAGCGCTTATCGCTGTCACAGACAACGTAGCCCTGCTCCAACCGTGACACTGTCGACGCTGCCAGGTCGGCGTGTACGTTTATGTACAGTGGGCCAGGGCGCAGCGAAATGCGTGCCAAGTCCTGCACTTTCGTCGTCTGCGTGGCCGAGAAGAGCATGGACTGTCGGTTCTCTGCAATCCGCACAATAAAAGGAGTGTCAGCCAACCTCCGCGAGCAAGCGCACGCCTAAATCCGATGCGAGCGTACCATTCGGCAAGAGTTTAATGATCTGGCGCATCTCATCTTCGAATCCAATCTCAAGGATCCGATCCGCTTCATCGATGCAGAGTGCTTTCAGATTGTTGACGAGAAACCCCTTGGTGTTCTGCAGGTGATCCAGCAAGCGACCAGGCGTCGCAATGATTAGGTTGACGCCTTTTTGCAGCTTGTCCGCCTCGTTCTTCCGATTGGCCCCGCCCATGATGATGCCAAACGTCTGAGAGTGTCCACCGGCCGTGATGAGCTCTTTCGCGACGCCAAAGATTTGCAGCGCCAGCTCGCGCGTCGGTGAGAGAATGATAGCCCCTGTCCCGTTGCGCGGCTTGAACTTGAGCCGGTGTAGGAGCTCGATGGCTGGGATCAGGAACGCAAGCGTCTTCCCCGAGCCTGTCTGCGCGGCACCAAGCACGTCCTTTCCGGCCAGCAATGGCGGGATGCAGCGAGCTTGCACTTCTGTCATCGTGCTGAAACCCATGGCGCTGATCCCCTTGGTTGAAGCCGGCGTAAGGTCTAATGAAGAGAACGGCTGCCGAAGAGCGGCAGGGGCAGAGGCTGCCACTGCTTTGCCTAGTCCATCCTCCTCCTTCACTGCTCCACCATGGCTGTCGATCGCCCCACTCTCCTTGCTGTTTCGCTTCTTGTCGGTCTTGCTCGACCCATCGGGCTGGCTAGACGGCCCAGCCTGAGCTCGGGCTGCTTCGGCCTCCGCCACGTCGGCGGCCAGCTGAGCTGCCAGCTGCTTCTCCGCATCCATTCTTCAAGCTCAGCAAGGTCTGCTTGATCGAGTGCGAGCTGCTGTGCTTCTCTAGGCTCAGAAAAGTCGCTTCGAAGTGTCAGTCTGCAAAGGAAAGAGCCCCAAAACAGATTGCTATCAGCTATGTCGCGGGCATCTGGCCAGAGGCGAATGTACTACATTTTTGGTCGAACGGCAAAAACTGCTTACGTAAGACACTGATCTGGCGCCGGCAAAAATTTGGAGAAAGTTGAGTTCCGCGTTCCGCGCTTCAGCGCTTCCAAATTTCTGTCAATGGCATCTCTCCAAATACACATAGGATGTGCATAGCATGCCTGCGAGAGCTTAGGTTGTTATTGTTGTTGACCAGCCCTTAAAGAACTTCATGGTGCGGACCAACGCCAGAAGACACAATGTCGGTCAAGAGCAAAAAGACGGAGATGACGCCCGGGAAAGCGGCGCCAAGCGAGGGCAATGCCAACAGCAAGTCAAAGTCTAGCGACAAGGGCAAAGGAAAAGCAAGCTCGACAATCTCAGTCAGCGACGCAGAGAAGGCGATGGCTAAAAAGGCAAAATCAGAAAGGGCTTCATCAAATGAAATTGCCCCAGCGTCGTCATTAGCCGTAAAAAAGTCTCGTGTCGTCTCGGGATCGTCCCGTATCTTTGTGCCGTTTCGCGCCCTGGGATTCATCAGCAACGGTGTGCCGTTCGCGCTGCAAGTCCGTCACGGCGGCAAAGATGCAACTACTCCAGATATCAACATCATCACCTGCCTGGAGGGATCATCCTCTTCTTCTTCCAGCTTATCATCATCTTCATCCAACGCTCGCAAGCAGCAAGGCTCTGGTGACACATGGGCCATGTGGGACGCGATGCACATGCGGCTGCTTTTTGTCGGTCCACCCGCGCCAGCTACGCACGATGGAGGAGGCAAGATTGTCGCCATGGCGACGAGCACGAGCCCCGATAGCTTACTCGTCTGCTATGCCGGAGGCAGCATTAGGCGCTTCGTGCGCGCGCGGGAGGTCGCCAGGTACGACACGTGGTTGCGTAAGGATCAAAGGCAACGGAAGCTGCCGCGGACGGCGGACAACAACGGAGGCAAGGGAGCCTCGTCTTCGTCAGGTTCTTCCTCAAACAGCGAAGCGGAAGATGAGAGCAGCAGCGATGATGAGATGAACGATGGAGAGGCGCAGGGAGGAGGACGCAACCTGCTGTACCCGGACGACGATATTCCCCACTCTCCCACCAAGTTGGCTCGCATGATCGTCTTTGGCGACACCATCTGCGCGCTTTCAGCTGATGGAAGCGCTCTTTTTGTCTGGAATCTCTTGACAACCCAGCTTTTGCGACGCGTCAACCTATCCGCCTCGTCAATCCCCTTGCCCTCTGCGAGCAAGAGTCGGTCGGACGACCCATTCGTCATCAATAATGCAGACCGAACCGCCACGGCGATCTTGCACCCCGCCACCTACCTAAACAAGGTTTTGCTCGGCTTCTCAGACGGTAGTCTGCAGCTTTGGAATATCCGGACCGGTCAGCTCATTCATCACTTTGACGGCCGATCTAATCTCTACACGCATGCCGATCATTCGCATCAACACACTCCCGGCGACGCTCCGATTGGACCAGGGACGCAAGTCGTTGCACTCGTGCAAAGTCCCGCTATCGATATCATCGGCATTGGTTTTGCTAGCGGGCATGTGCTCTTGCATGATGTTCGTCTCGATGAGCCAGTATTTCGAATGAAGATCGCGGCTGCAGAAGGCAAGCAAGACTTGCAGAATGGCCACGTCAGCCTTGTAGGAGGCGTTCTCAGTCGCGATGCGATCAGCTTTAGGACAGATGGAAACCAGCACAGCATCGCTGTAGGCGGTACGAGCGGCAACATCAGCATCTTTTCGCTTGACTCTTCTGTGGACACGGCAGGCCAAGATCAAGCCGATTCCGCTAGCGAGCAGCAGAATAAAGTCCGTGCACGACCCGCGCGACTTGCGCACGTCATCCGCGCTGCGCACGACGCGCCTATCGGTGGGCTGCAGTTTGTGCCCGGACAAGCGCTCCTGATTAGCTCGTCTGCGGACAACTCGTACAAACAATGGTTCTTCGATGACGCTGATGCCATCGAGTCAAATGCGCCTGGCTCACTTGCTGCTGGCTCTGTGAACGGAAGTGCAGGCGTGCCTCCGCGCTTGCTCCGAAGCAGGAGTGGCCACCATGCGCCTCCGCATCTGGTCAGACACTATGGTGATGACGGCAAGAACATCCTTACTGCGAGTAGGGACAGAAGCCTGCGCTGCCTGAGCGTTGTGCGGGACAGCAGGAGCTTTGAGCTGAGTCAAGGTAAGCGCTACAACCTAGAGCTCAGTTCTCCATTGAGTGCCTAACATCCTTGCTCCCTGCACGATCCTCTAGGCTCGCTTGCGAAAAAATCTGCGCAGCTCTCCGTAGATATCACCTCTCTCAAGCTGCCCCCTATGACGTCCCTCGCGTTCAGCATGACACGGTCCCGTGACTGGGACGACGTGATCACGACGCACGCTGGGATACAGCATGCGCGCACGTGGACCGTAAGAGACAAGCGTATGAGCAAGCACGCATTGGCTGCTGTGCCAGACAAAACTGCCGCAGCTGCGGAGGCACGTGTGGGCTGCGTGACAGCATGCGGAAACTTTGGCCTGGTTGGCACCAGCCTTGGTAAGGTGGAGTGCTACAATATGCAAAGTGGGATCCATCGTAGAACATACGACACGCGTGCAATCGATGGGGCGGCTTTGCAGAGAGCGAGAATGCTACCGCCTGGCAAGAAGCGTGCTGCCGCTGAGGAGGCTGCACGAATTGGAAGAGGCAACAGAGTCACTGGAGTAGCGAGCGACGCAAGAAACCGCATCTGCGTAGCCGCTACTCTCGAAGGGACCCTGCACTTTTTCGACTTTTACACCACCGATCTGATCGCTACTCTTCCACTGGAGAGCTCCCCTTCGACTGTCTACCTACACCAAGATTCTAATCTGCTGGCCGTTGCTTGCGATGACCTGACAGTCCTGCTTGTGGACATCGAAACACGCAGGGTGGTACGTGAGTTCTCTGGCTTCAGGGGACGCGTTCTCGATCTCTGCATTTCTTCCGATGCGCGCTGGCTCATTACGACCTCGATGGACAGCGTCGTTCGCACGTTCGACATCCCCACTGCGACTCTCGTCGACACATTCAAGACGCCGAGCGTCGCCACGAGTCTGAGCATGTCACCTTCACTGGACTTCCTCGCTACAGCCCATGTTGACAGCATCGGGGTGTACCTGTGGGCCAACAAAGCACAATTCTCGTCTGTTGCCCTCCGTGGGCTGGACGAGCTAGCAGAAGTAGCGGATGGTGACGCAGAAGGGGTTGTGTCTATGCCTTCGCTTCAAGGAGACAGCGGTGCGCAAGAGCTGGTCGCCGACGAGGAAGCTGAAGGGGTAGACGTCATGCAAATCTACACTTCGCCACCGCAGCTGTTCGCAGATCAAAACAACAGATCCACTGAAGGGGCGCTGACCACGCTCAGTACCATGCCACGCTCTCGCTGGCTTACATTGATCAATCTGGACATCATCAAGAAGAGAGACAAACCCGTCGAGCCGCCTAAGCAGCCCGAGAAGGCTCCATTCTTCCTCCCTCAAGTGGCTGGCACTACCTTCGAATTCGATACAAATGCGAAGCAACCTGCGGCCAACAAGAAGGGTAAAGAGGGTGCAAGGCTGCTGTCTGGGGCCGATCTCAGCTTCGAGAGCGACTTTGTCAAACGGCTTCAAAAGGCCAACCAAGCCAATGATGGTATGTTGTTCTGGACGTGGTATGACGAGTTGCACGCTAATGCATTGTCATTTCTAGCCTCCTCTTTCTTCTACTACGTACACGCTCTCACACCGCCGGCCCTCGATGCTGAGATACGCTCGCTTGCAAGCTTTGACGATCTGCGCCTCTTTATCGATGTGATGACACTTCGACTGCAGGCGCACCTCGACTTCGAAGCTGTGCAAGCGATGCTCCGGGTCTTCTTGCAGATCCACTCCGATCTTCTGATCGCCAATGGAGTCACCCTCGCGACCCAGGAGCTGAGTGGTGACACTCCCATGGGCACTGACGGGGACGATGTGAACGAGTCCAGCGAAGAGGCGACAGCTCTTCGTCATTCGATTCGTGCACTCATCGTGCAACAGCACCTCGAGAGCGCCCGGGTGTTGGACCTGCTTGACTTCAATCTCGGAACCTTGAGTTTCGTGCGCGACATCCCTCTTGTATGATTTCTCTGAGGAATCAGCTTTTCTTCCATTGCCAATTCGTATATACTGGATCAAGAGTGAAGATCTTTGAGCGAACTATGGTACATTGGAAGTGTGCACGAAGGCGGGGCCGAGAGAGCGAGATGGTTCATGTCATGATAGCGTGAACGGACTGCGATCGTGCGGGCGCTGAGTCTGATTGCGCGGCGCGAATCCGGGCGGAGCGTGGAAGTCATAAGCGGCTGCACCTGGCATCGGTCGGAAGGCGCCGAGATGCGGGGGTTGCTGCTGCTGTTGAGGACCGCGCGCAATGGACATGATGGAAGGATCATAGAAGGGCATGTCTGTTAAAAAAACACGTCTGAGACGTCAGCCATCACTCACGAAAATAAGAACATTGGCATGAGCATCAAGAGGTTGCATAAACTCACCGTTCAAGCCAGCGCCATTGCCAAAAGCGTGCTGACCGGGCATTCCAAACACATGATGTCCATTTTCCGCGCGGCGCTGACTGGCCGACGCCATGAGTTGAGCAAGAAGAGGCTGCTGACGCTCGCGTGGATGCTGCTGAGGCTGCCGCTGCTGCTGCTGCTGTTCATACGCTTGCGGGTAGGCCGCCATCCGCGCAGCTGTGTGCTGCTGTTGCGCTTGTGCCGCCTGCTGCTCCTGCCAGCTGCGTGTGCCATTGGCTACTTGCTGCGGGTGCGGACCGACCGAACGCTGGGCTGGGAAGCCCGAGTGAGGCTGCGAGTGAGATCCGGCGCTGCTGGGCCTGTCGTTGCTCAGCGCACTGCTGCCATGCCCAGCTTCCTGTACGTTCGTCACATCCGTCTTGAGCCCAAGTACGCTACTCATGAAGTTACGCGAAAGAGTGGAAGCATCCTGACTCTCCGACGCGGCACTCGAACTGCCGTTGTTACTACCATTAAGGAACGAGTCTCCGCGCCCGCCGTTCGAGTACGGCGATGTGTCAAGAGCCGGTGAGGAAGCGGCGGAGGTGGCAGACGCGGTGAGGCTGGGTAAGCTAGCGTTGAGCGCGCTCGTGGCGAAAGAATTGTCGCTTCCTTGATCATCTCGCTTCCGTGTGAAGCTGAAGCGAGAGCCGCGCTTGCCCTGATCGCTACCGGCCCGGTCATCGTCCGATGTGGTCCCTCCAGCGGCGCCACCGGCACCATTTCCAGCAGCAGCGATGCCACGCTCGTCAGACAGATTCCGCTTCATCTCGTCGATAGCGGCGAAAGGCGCGCCCTTGGAATCTTCAGCTGAAGCAAATGGATCAAACGAGCCCGAATACGCAGCAGCGCGCCTAGCACCGCCATACCCATGCGCTGCGGCACCCACGCCTCCTGCCGCTGTCAACATCGGCGAGCCAATCCCGAGATCCATCAAGCCGCATGCTGCACTGTACCCTACTCCTCCTGCCAGCGCAAACGGCGCAAATGCAGGTAACGCTGTGCCCATGCCGGGGCCAGTGACGCTTCCAATGCCGACACCGACACCGCCGAAGCCTCTGATAGAATCGCTGCCGATACCAGCACCTGTACATGCACCAGACGCGAGCGTGTCTGGGAGGTTGAAGCTGAAGTCGCCATTGGAGAAGCTTCCGAGTACAATCTCGTCCAGGTCTGGGAACGGGCTCGGCTGCACAGGCGCACTGCGGCGCTGGTGCAAGTCGTCTATGAGCGCCTGCGCTTTCGAGGAAGGCTGGTAGCCCGACGCTTTCGACTTTGGGTCCTCCGCCGAGTCCTTCTCCTTCCCTTGTGCAAGCGCCAAAGCATCGTCTTTTCCGTTCGCCTTGTCCTTGTCCTTCGCCTTCTGGTCCTTTGACTGTTTTGCATCTGCCTCACCAGCAGTGGCGGCAGGCGGTGCCGCCAGGCCAGGCGGCGGCCCGACTGGCGTGCTGCTGCCACGTGAACTATCGGTCCGGGTCAGCTTCGCGGACGTTGCTTGCGGCGATGCTTTCGCAGTATCAGCGAGCCCAGCAATGTCCTTCTGCGCTGGTACCAGCGCCGAAGCTGGCGCTGAAGAGGTAGGCTCTGGGCTGGTAGTAGCCGCAGCCGCTACGGAGGCTGCCGCTGCCGCTGCATCTCCAGCCGCCTGTTTCTTCCCAGTGGTATTCTGCTGCTGCTGCTGTTGCTTGTTCTTCTTGGAAACTTGTTGTTGCTGTTGTTGCTGCACTTGAGAGGTCTGCTGGGTGATCAGTGCCGACAGCGGCGGCAGGTCCTGCTCGCGCAGTCCCGTTGGAGTGATCGCTATGCCGTTTGTCAAGGAGGGGGGTTTGATAGGCGGCACGCCCGTGCCTGTTGAGCCCCACGAGGCTGTCTTGGGCAGGGCGCTGCTGCCGCCTTCCGATTCATTCAAGCCCAGTGTGATGCTCGCGGTATGGTTGGCTGCTTGGCCGCTCGCTGGCATTGCTGTGCTTCCGCCAATGTGCGTACTGTGGTGGCCACTACTCGACGATACCGAGTCTTTGCGCTCCGACCCCGTCGCTACCGCTGTTGCCATGAGTGGTGGCCGAGACGCCTTTCGTTCGCTATCCTTGGCAGCATGCCGCAGCGTGCTGAGGTCCTCCTTAGTGAAGCTGTCTGCCTCCTCACCTGGTTCGTGCAGGTATGTGCAAGCAGGATTGGTGCAGGGGAGGTTCCGCAAGTACGTCGTGCAGTACTTGGTTGTGCCATAGCTGGCGCGGATCAGCTTCCCGTCGGAGCCCTTTGTCCCGTCGATCGCGACGATCGCGCGCGCTGCGTCCTCTTTGCGGTAGTACGTGACGTACACTCCGATGGCGCTTTCCTGCATTCCCATGACAAGCTTGCTCGCCGTCGTACGTTTGCTGATCAGGATCTTGGAGATGCGTCCGTACTGCCCAAAGTACTCTTGCGACCTAAGCGTCGGTATCAACTCTTCCTTTGCCAGTTTCGAGCTGAGGCCGGTGACGTAAACGAGGTTCTTCTGTACGACTCGCATGTTGGCCAAGTGTTTCCGATTCATCTGCTCTAGCTCCTTCTTCTCCCTCTCTTTTTGCTTCTTGGCTTGCGTTAGTCGTTTGATCCTGCGCATAGCAAGCAATCAGGCGTGTTCACAATCAGCAACCGCCCGGTTTCGAGAAAGTGTGCATGGGAGCTCAGCAGGCGCAACTCACTCTTCGGCACTCATTGGTGTGAACTCGACAGTCTGATCTGAGTACTTGCGCCTGCATGCTGGACAACGACCATTGAGATTCTGCTTGATGTGATGCCAGCAGAAACGGCAGATCTGCAAAAAGAAGCGAAGCAGGCATTGGTGAGTATGTACCATGTTTCCTGCCACGCTATACTCGGCAAAGTGCACCTCACCTGATATCCACATGGGCATGGCTTAAAGTTTACATCGGACAGGTCGATCTCTTCCAAGCACAACGGGCAGTCCATGTCCTCCTACGCGGCGGTAGCATCAGCAGTGGTACAAGGTGAACACGTCAGCACTGACTCGTTTCTCGCTCGGGCAAATGATTGAGACTCACCTCATCATCACTCCAATATGCATCCTGCAACCTGCAGGCCTGTGCCTGGCTGGCGTCAAATTTGGTCGGTGCGGGCGGCAAGCCTGATGAGGACGAGGTAGATGGCTCGTGCGGCGCAGAATGGTGCTGCTGCGAGTGCGAGTGACCTTGTTGTCCGTGCGCATGCACATGATGCGCGTGATGGTCTCTAGCTCCGCCCATGTCGTGCTAGCTGCCGTTGGCGAAAGGTGGTGGTGCTACCTAGGATGACTGTACGCGCGCGTCCATCGACACTTTGTGTGCAGAAGCTGTATGGATTATCTTGATACCTCTCTCCAAGCTCTCGTATTCACTATTCTACCTCGTGAAATAAGACAAGCCAGCCTCCAGCACTTGTGCTTGGATTGCTGAGTACTCGCACCTCTCCTCGCGGTCGCCACTCGAAGAGAGAAAAGGTCGAGTTGCTTCCTGCCCTTTTGGCGCCTTGAACCACAAGTAATGTGAATTCTGTGTCAGTCGCCTTTTTGAAGTGGCCAAGGCGGCTCCGACCAAATCGACAAGTAGAGATGGGTGCCGACGTGTTTGAGTGCTGTGATCGATCGAGCGAGTTGGCGAGGACGCAGAGAGCTTGACGGAGCTCGACACCTGACTGCGATGTCCCACTCCACCAATCCAACGTTGCAGCTACACAGACAGCGCGAGAAGATACGTGACTCTTAAGCAATCGTCTGTATCTGCGCGTTGCCTTTGCTCCTTGTGTAGATGAGGATGCACAATGGGGAGTGAGGGTGAAGGAGTTAAGGATGATTGAATGTGCATTGGTATATTCCCTCTTTGGTAGTATGGCAACGACAGCGGCAGCAGCGGCTGCGCACTATTTCCCTCTGTGCGAAAATTTGTACACTTGCCTTGCCCACTTTCCTCTCCTTTCGTGCTCCAGCCCTTCTGGCGCGACGTGCGTTGCCAATTAGAGTGACGCGATGCCTGGCACAACCCTAATAACTCGAGCCAGGCACATCCGAGATCTCCAGATCTACAATCGCATCCGCCTTATTGACCCATAGCACCCTATGGTCGCCAGAGGATCACGCTTGCTATGTTGCAAGTTGTGCGCAGCCCAGCAGCCAGCCAGCGCAGGAATTTCAAGGGCACATCCAGCGCAACCAGTTCGGCGTCGTCGGACACAGCTCCTCACTCGAAAGCAAGGCGTCAACTCTTTAGGGGCAAACGGGACCACCGTGCTCGCGCCACCCAGCATGGCTGCGGGAATCAGGAGTGCGTATTATAGAGCTGCGGGGAGTGTTGAGCTTGTGGGATCGCTGACGTATGCATCTTGTGCTGCTGCTTGAATCGGTATGAAGTACAGCAGTCATCCTCCTGTCCTTTGTCCTCGCACTCGGCTTCCTGCTCATCATCCTCTCCTGTGCGCTGTGGTCCAATTGGCTTCCGTTGCTCGTTGGTGCGTGCTGACAATCCGTCTTGTTGCGTGCGAGAACGCTCGGCATCAGCCGCGTGACAAACAAGGGCCGAAGTGCTTGCTGAAACTCTTCTTTGGCCCCTCTCAATCTCTTTCCCGCGCAGCTCTTATCTACGTCCTCTCGCCTTTGCCTAACTCGCTATGCGCCAAAGTTGCCGGCTACGATGACTACTCGGCCGACTACAACTCCGCCTTTGTCGATTTCGGCAACTTCCTCACCGCCCTCATGGTTGTCTCCGGGTTCGCCTTGCCCCTCACACTCGCACATGCAGGCGTCATTACCGGCACAGCGTGCCTCATGAGCGTCTCCGGTGGCGCGTTGGTATATGGCACTAGTGAGTCCCCTGCCCAGCTGAAGTGTAGCTGCGGCGCGTGGTCGGCCGAGATCCGATCTGCTGACATGTTCGCACCCCTCACCCTTGATTCGCTCGACCCTCAAAAGTCCTTGCTTACTCGGGCTTCTTTGCCGAGAGTGAAGACGTGTTCTGACTTGTCAGGCATCAACGCTGTTCCACACCGTTTCTCCGTTTCTCTCAGCCGTACCAAGACCGTGACGCCGAGCGTAAAATGCAAAGCTTTTGATTCACGTGCCACTGTTCCCTTTCCCTTTACTAAGGTGATTATCTGCATGCAGGTGACATGAGTATGATACAGTGTGTGAGGGCATTGCTGCAAAGACATTGGGCGAAAGCAAAAAGGTAGAGGACGCGCAGCACATTGCGGCGAGACACTCAATGCACGTTGACGACCGCAGTGGGCGTCGCAGAGATGGTAGCGTCAGCCGTGGACAAGTCAGTGCTTGTGTTCGTGCTGCCATCCAAGAAGTTGTCCTCCCTGGAGCTCCCCTCAAGGCGGCAGGTTCCATCGCCTTGCGTGGTACTGACCTTGGTCTGCCCTTCTTGCTGCTCATGTCTTGTGGAGCTGTTTCGCCCGGGGGTGTGCGGCGTGCTAAGCGAGTATTGCTGCTGTTGCCCCTGCTGCCGCAGGCGCAAGGATGCAGAAGCACCGCTTCCATGATCTTGTCGCTCCTGTCCTTCCTCCTTCTCTATTTCCTCTTCCTCGCCAAATACTGGGACTCGCATAGGTGTGCCATCCTCGCGCAATGCTGTTGCATCGAGCAGCTGTGGCATTTCGGGCCCAGCCTTGCAAATCGGCGTGACGAGCCCCATAAAGGACGACGACAGCTGCGCAACGTCAATAACTGACGATGACGCGTACGCCGAAGTCGACGGAAGGCCAACTTGCGTTGGCGTCTGAATCTGCCCATGTACATGTGTCTGAGGCTTTGCTTGGTTTTGTGGCTTCGCTCGCGTAGGGTCAGAACTGTCGCGCCCCCCACCGATGCTGAGCAGCGTACTGCCGGAGAGATCGGGTGTGTGTCGCTGCGGCGTCGATAGAGCGTCACTCTGCGCCGGACTGCGCAACGAATTGAGAAAGTCGTTCTCCGAGAAACGCGGATCGAACAGTGAAGGCGGGCGCGGGCCTTGCCGGCTTTCTGTGTGCGCGTGTGATGCTTGATTATTGCACGGGTGAGAATTCTGTCCGCTCTTGAGCTCCTCGAGGAATTCGTCTGACTCCAGAAAGTCTTTGTATTGCTGAGTGGACGCGTCCATCGTATCCTCTTCATCGCCAATCGACATGGCTTGCATGGGCGGGGCCTCACGCTTGCGAACGGGGATCGGTACAGTGAAATTACTATGCTTCAGAGCTAGGCGCGGTAACCATCCTCGGCGATTCTGGCGTTGATTACCCTGCGTACCTGCTCCGCCGATACTCTGCAAGCCAAGCGACTCGAGCTCGGAGTCGTTCCCGCCTTTGGCGCCAATCCGTAGGACTCGTAGCAGGCTCTCCATCATTTGCTGAGGCTCCCCTTCACCCTGTACTGAGTTCACAACGTTTGACATCTGCAGAAGACGCGGATACAGATTGCTGTCGCTCGCTTCATCTGCATCATCATCTTGCTCCCCTTCGCCGCTGAAGTTGCGGATGTGGGCGAACAGGTAGAAGAGCTGTTCGTACCTTGGCGCGATAATCTCGTCTCTAAAAACGGAAAGCAGAATCTGGCGAACTTCAATCCGCTCGGTCCGCAGGCTGGAAAGAGGAGTAGCAGTACTCATCGAAGCCGAAATGCCGGGAGCAGCTATTTGAGATGCCATTGCAGCGCCAGCTTTCGGCGTTTTGCCCTTGGTCAAACTGGCAATGTCGGGGTCCGTGACGACGGGCAAGAAGCTGGCGTCAACATTGGGGATGATGTCACCAAAGTAGTCGATCCAGACCCGGACCAGTTGGCGAAGCAGCGCTTCACCTTGAAGCGCGCTCAGCCGGGAGTTCAGCGTGTACATTCCCGATGAGGCAAGGGAAGCGATCTCTGCGGACAGGGTGTCCAGAGCTCGCGCAGGTCCGCGCTGGACGACCTTTCGCACATGTACTCTATGACATATCTTCGTGAGTAAGTAGGTCACAGTGTCTCATCGGGAATCCGAACTCACCCAACCAGAGCGTTGAGCTCGTCAAAGGAAGCTTTCAGTCCCTCGCCGTTGAACAGCGGCAGTATCTTGACACAGATGCTTTGCCACGTGTCTGAGATTGAGGAGAGCCCATTTGTTGATACATGTGCGAGCTCTGTGGCGGCGGCGGACGTTTGATTGAGCATGTTTTGGAGACTGTACGCATGCAGGGCGGACGGATGAAGTAATGGTGTGCTCTGGCTGGGAACGAGGCCACCAGAAGCCCCGGTGGTATTGCTCATCGCGGACTCGTTGGTGGCGGAGTTACTCGTCGCCTTTTCAATCTCTCTGGCTAGGAATCGACCGTCGTATGCGCTCAAGCTTTTAGCTGACGCAGGCGTAGCAAGCAAGCCATGTGGTGAGCGACCTGCAGAGAGACTGCCAGTGTTCATCATCGGAGTCGACACTGACGGTGTGAGTCCACTGCGCATACCCTCGTCTGGGATCGCTCCACTTCCTCCGCTTAACATGTTCGCAGGGCCGCCAGAGGTTGGAAGCTGCATTGTGACGCCTTTGAGGTGGTCGGTCTGATTTTGCACAAGGATTCTAACAAAGGTGCTGCGACCAGCGGTTGGAGCGGACGGCAAGGGTCGCTGTGCATCGACCGACCCTTCTGCCAATTGTGTTTGTATCTGCCCTGAATCCATCTCCGATCCTGATGATTGCGACGCTATCACACCTGTCCCTGTTGGAGCAGGGACTGCCCCAGGTCCCATCGATGAGGGCGCACGGCCAGGCGCAGGCACAGCAGCCGGTACCGCAATTTCCAGCCTCGTCCACCCTGAATTCTCGAGGCGGACGTGCCTGTAGCTTTGCTTTGGATCTGGCCATGGGGCTTGCAGCCCTCCAGGTGGATCACTCTCATGCAAGCTCATGAACACCCGGAGCAGCTCCTGTATGGCAATACCATGTGCGATGATAACGATGTGAGGGCAATCATTCGGCACATTGCCTCCAACTGCACTTGCAGCCCCTTTGTGCGTGGCCGATACTGGTTCCTTGCGAAGTGCTTCAATTCTTGGCAGGATGAAGCGACGAACAGCGGTAGCCACACGCGCATTCACATCCTCCAAACTTTCTCCATCTTGAAACTTGGCCGTCCTCGTATCCTCGGCCGTGGGCAGCGTTTGCCGTTCGACGCTGGACCAGCTCTTTCCTTCGGCTTGGCCGAAATTTTGCTCGCGAAGAGATTGTGATTGGACCAAGATCGGAGGGGGAATGGTATTGTTTTGCTGTAGAACCTCGTCCGCCGTCGTTGCTGCTCGTTTGAGGTCAGAGCTATAGATGGCCACGATCGGGACATCGGCGAATGACTTGCCTACCGCTCGTGCTTGAGACTGGCCGGTGCTTGACAGCGCACTGTCCCTGTAGCCTGCGCAAATGGAGCGAAGGTCATCCTGAGATTCACCATGGCGCACCAAGGTGATGAGCAGGCTCTTGAGAGGATAGTTGGTCACGATGCTGTTCGGCGGATTGACATAGCTTGTGGTAATGAGGAAGCTCGAGTTGCTCGACGAGACGGTGTGTGGCGACCGTCGGGGAGGTCGGCATTGTCCTGAAGGAGGTCCAGATGCAGCAGCTGTGGCCAAAGGACGGTTGAAGGCCTCTGGCGAATCAGTGAGCGGGCGTGGATCCATGCTTGCTTCCGATGGGAACCGACTCGGCCACCTGGGGTGCAACTCTATTGGTCATCCGCGCGTCAGGGATTCGACCTCATCCCACGGTGCTTTTTGTTCGATGGGAGCGTTCGAGTCTCCCATGAGTGCTGCGGTGTTAGATGAGAGAAGTATTGTCCACATTCAATGAGGATGAATGGCGTATTAGCCACAAATGTGGCGTTGCTGTTGCGTTCGCCCGTGTGGCGGCGTTTAGCTCACGGCGCGACTGCGCGAGCGAGCCTCGCCTCGTCGATTTGAAACTCTCGCCTATTTCCGCAAACCTCATCAAGTAACACGTTGCAAGGCTTGCAGCAAGGTGCAAGCGCGTAAGCATAATGAGGTTAAGCCCTCAGATGAAACGAGATTGACCGTGCGTGCAACTATGTGGATCACGATTCTGCAAGCCGATCAGAGCTGAGCATAGATTACAGGACAAAACAAACATTGTACGACGGTGACTGGCTTTCGGGAATAAACTGTTACAGCCCGTTGGAAAAGCGAAGACTGCGAATGATCCACGAAAAAGAACAGAAGACGAAGTGGAGAAAGGGTTATCCAGCGAAGAAAGTCGCTATCGCTGCCAGTAGTTGTAACCTTGCGCTTGAGATCCGGCGTAGAGCGGGCCCATGTTCGAATTAGAAGTCGCTGTGGATGGAAGGGTCGGGAACTCGCTGTTGGCTCGCGTCAGGCTGGCTCTTCGCTCTTCCCGCGTCAGTAGGCCAGTGTTGGCGACGACAGGGCTGAAATGCGTGAGTTGGTCGCTATGGAGACCGGCTCGCGCGAAGGCAGGTGATAGTAGCGTGGCTGCTGCTGTGGACTCTTGGGGAGCTGAGCTGCCGAACGGCATCGAACTGTGTGTCGATAAAGTCGGGCTTTGCAATGATGATTGGGAGTTCTGGTAGTCCCACATGGCGCCGATGAAGCTTGGCCGCTGTATACTGTCAAATGTCGCAGCTCGAGCTCGATGAGGGTCGTTCATCATGTGCATGTCACCATGTGGTGCGGACATCCCATGCGCACTGTGCGGCTGTTCCATGTAATTGTCGTGCCCAAACATCGTACCGACTCGGCGGCCAGGTGCCGGGTAATTGCCGTTCGGCGGGTGGTCATGACTGGAATTGGCGAGGTTTGATATGTAGAAGGAAGTGTCGTACGAGGGCCCTCCTGGTTGCGACATGTTGATTTGATTGGGGATGTTGATTGAACGCGCTGCGCTCCCGTTTCCATTTCCATTCACATTTCCATTCACATTTCCATTCACATTTCCATAGCCATAGCCCATAGTTGCGTAAGTGGATATGGCGCCCGAGTTGTATGGATGGTGCATGCTGCTGCTCGGTGCGGCAGTCAAGCTGTCATTTTGCCCGTATCGCTTTGTCATCGGCTGCTCGTCGTCTTCCTCGGGCTCTGGAGCATTCGCGCTGGTACTGCTCATTTCCTTGGCATTGCCCTCCTTCGACCCATCTGCTTCGGTGGTCTTATTCCTGCGCTTGCGGCGCCCCCCGCATCCCTGTGTGCGCGCTTGAGTCAGTCGGATTCAAGAGCAAAAAAGGTGAAGGAGCGATACTCACCTTTACCAGGATGTGTCTCTTAAGCGCGTCTTTTCGGCTAAACGGCTTACCGCAGTCGTTGCACGCAAAAGGCTTCACCGCGAGGTGAATGCGGGCATGCCGTCTTAGATCGTGGTTGCGCGCAAAGCTAGCCGGACAGCTTGTGCACTTGAACTGGCGTGGCAGGTGGCTGACCACTCGTCGCCGACCCATGAGATCGACACCTTCCGAGAGCTCGTGGGTCATGCCCGAGTGGGAGTGTGCATGCTCTCTTTCGCCGCGCTCATCGAGCGGAGGCGAGGCGTTTGGTGCTGCACCCCAATGCGGGCGTGCTGGGTCGTTCGCGCTGCCGTAGGACGTGAGTGGCATTCCTGGACGCGAAGGCTCATTGAGCGCCGCATAGCTCGGCAAAGACCGAGGTTCCATGCTGCTGCCACTCGCATAGAGCCTTGTTTGCGACAGGGAAGATGACTCAGGCCCAGCGTAGCCTGCAAAGTTCGGAGGTAAGCCTTTGGGTGCCGCCGAATCGTCTGCGGTGGGCCCACGGTAGTCGGGAGCGGCACTGATCGCGCCGCGTCGATGAGTTGTGGGTAGTGACATCGATTGCTCCTGATGCTGCTCGTGGGCGAAGCTTTGGTTGTCGTAGCCCGATGCCGAGCCTGTGCAATTGATGTCTCGTTGGTCCGCCAAATGATAATGTTCCTCGTCGCTGCTACTAGCGGCACTCTTGCCGCCTAGCCGGCGCGCTGCCTCGTTCTCAGTTTCGATGGGGTTGAGCAGAAGGCCAATATTGGATGAACGCCTTGCGCTGACGAACGATCCGCCGCGGGCCCTCTTGAGACTCGTGTCCTCGTGCGCGACGCGCCTGGCATTTACACCCTCCGCCGCAGGGCCACTCGATGGAGATGGTGGTCGCATTGCGTCGTCGTTGCTGTTGATGCTACCACTGGAACTGAGCCTTTGATGTGAAGACACTGCAGGAGCCGTTGCAGGGTAGCATGGGGATATGATGCTCCTCCTTCGGCCAGATGTGCCAACGGACTCGGCACTCCAAGATGATTGTCCTTCCACAGGTCCTACGCCTCCTGTTACTGCGCCGGCACCACTACTACCTTTCGTACCGAGTCCGAATTCAGCCAAGCTGAATGCGTATGCGCGTGCAAGGCTTGTCCTGCGAGTTGTATTGTTGAGCGCGTCTAGTGAACTACCAGCAGTTGCGTTTGCAGCAGGTAGGTATGATGCAGGAAGCAAATCCTCTTCGTCTGTGAAGCCCAGTGCAAGCGAGAGCGAGGGGAGACTTTCCCGCGGCTTGTGCTCAATTGGCTCTGGGGACCAGGGCAGACCGCTTGCGCTCGATATGGTAGCGGTGCCTGAAAAGACACCCTTGCGCCGCCAGAGGGGCGGGTCGATGCTCGTTGGAGAGCCGGGGCGCGAGGCCTCGTCCTCTGGAGCTTTATCCGCCGTCGTTTTGACCGTCTGTGCTTGCAGGAGAGCCGAGCCTCTCCTGGAGTTTACAAGTGCGATGCCACGGGCAATTGCAGCAGATGCGGCGGTACTGCTGCCGCCGACTCCACCAAGAAAAGAATTTGTGAGGCTGGACCGCCGAGCTGCGGATGCAAGCGTCTGATCGAGTGCCCCTGAGGCACCTGGTGCTGTGCTGCCAGGGATGAGCGAGGGGGGATGGCCTGCTGACAAGACACTGGTTGATGCGCCTCCGGGCGAAGCGTAGGCGTCTACAAGAACACCTGCTGTGAAACCGTTGACGATGTTGTGCCTATCGACGCGCATGGTCGTGATCAAGTTGCAAAAAGAGGCTGCCGATGGCAGAGTATCGAATGCGAAAGGGATGAGATAGCGAAGAAACGAGCAGGCGGACAGCCGTGTGGACGGATCAAATGTGGGGCTTCGAGCGCTGCACACGAGCGTTATCACCTTCTCGTCGGAGCAGCACAGGTGCTTTCACTGAGAACTGGATCAAGGCGGCTGCGATTGCCCAGGCTGAAGGGTGGCAACCACTCAGCAGAATCGACGAGACTTTTCACGCCTCTCCGTTTCGTCAACGTATGCTTCGGTGACGGCACACTAAGTATGTCGTCGCAAGTATCTGAGCAATTGCTGCAAGCCGCAGATAAGCCAGATCCTGGATTTAGGTAGGTGTACAGCTATTCGCTGATGTTGAAGTGGGCAGGAGCCAGGTTGGAAAGCAAACACAGGCAGTGAACAATCCTGGCCAGCGAAAGGTGGTGCAGGCCGAGAAGTGCCGTGCAGTCAATTGAGACAGATGGTGACAAATGCACCAATGATGAATCGTTTATTGCTGTGACCTTGTTGGTGCAGGTCGATCACAATGCAGGTAGGGTCAGGCGTTTACGACGAAGGGAGGCGTCACAAGCGAAAGCCCATCAGGGAAAGAGAGAGATTGATGTCAGTGACTTTAAGCGGTCAGTAACAACCCATCGGAGGCCCGTTCGCTCCTGACACTCACCTTCCGGACAAAAGGACATAGTTAGAGAACCACTGAGTCGGTGATAGATGAGTGCTCCGCTGTCAACCGTTGGCGGAGTGCACGACACGGGAATGTCTTGAATGTGATGTGGGAAGTTGTCAAACTCGGTTGCAGCGTGGTAAGTCGGACACACTAGGCTGAGTGTGTGACGTAAGTATGCACGCGTTCCGGAAAGGCAACTCTGCAGCGCCTTCAGAAGTCAACTCCTGGGAAAAGGCGATTGAGTATTGAGGTGGGTCTTTGGTGATCTCTGGTGGGTCTCTGAGACCCTGGAAGTCGGGAGGTGAAACCCCGCCAGACGAGGACGCGCAGCTGATAGAATGTCGTCGGATGAGGACGAGAGAATGTTTACTCTGGCGCGACGAGGTGGACGTAGGTGTAGACGGCCAGGCTTCAAGGCGAGGCTGTTTGCCTATGGAAGCATGGACGCCTGCCCAAGGACCAGCAAATGCAGAGAAAGAATCTCACTGCAATCGCATCCTCTTGACGACCGCGACGGCCATGCGCGAAGGTGTGAAGAAGTACATAAACCACAACAAATGGATGGAGAGACTACGATGACAGGAAGGCTTTTTCCTCGAGGGGCGCGGCGACGAGCATGGGGCGATGATCGAGACTGTATAGAGACCAGATGGCGATGGGACGGAAGAGACACGCACACTAGTGTGGCTGGTTCTCCTGGGCTATGCGCTGGTGCGGCCCAGTCGCCAACGAACGCACTGGACGAGAGCCTCACGCACGTACCTCCACCGCCACATGCTCTCAATTCCCAATGCCCGCCAAAACCCCCAATCTCCATTCTGATATTCTCCACAGTCTGTACAGTTATAGGCTCACCTCCTCCAGCTGCGTCACATCGCCTCACCTCCTGTCAAATTCCCTTGCCTCCTTGCCGCCGAATACATGCGACTAGTTCCTCTGTGCCGGCTTTCCTGTCAGTATCGAAGCGGCTCCATTGGGCGTCAAAAATGCTCAAGCGCGAGAAAAGAGACACTCAGGTCACAGCACATATTTGTACATGCTCAATACTACGATAGTCTGCCCCTCGTCCCAGTCCCCACAGATGTGATGGGTCGAGCGAGGGTATCTCCATGGGTTAGATGCTAAAACAAAAAGGTCGCAAAGGTCTCGCCACTTGGCCTGGACCTGATTCCTGCATTGATTCGACACTTCCGTGGATTTTGGGTCCAACCCTTGGCTGGCATTCGTAGCCGTTGGGCAGTCGCCAGGCGCAAGCGCACTGACTGGAATATGACTGGAATCTGGGTGCATGGGCCTGCTGTGCAGAGTTCGCCCGGGAGCTGTGTGGGTATCTGCTAGAAACACCTGAACCACTGTAGCTTTGTGCCATTTCTCTGGGAACACATAAAGCCTCTAGAAAGAAACCAAGTGTGGGCCTCAGACCCAGCTCCTCCAGGGTTCCCAGGTCTCAAAAACTGTCTTAAACCTGCTTTCTGGGCTGCGGAAACCCCCCAAATACGTGTTCTAGAGGTAGCGTGGAGAAAATTTAACAGATTCTCTTTTTATGGTAAAATATGAAATGATTGTGTAAAGATTTTCCTGCGGTTACCGCAGCTCGAAAAAGTGCAGCCTATTCCTGAAAAGACCTTACGCGGTATTCCGGGAGGTTTTGTTTCTTAGGCCCTGTATTTGCTACGTTTGAGGGCCAACTCTACCACTGGGGCCTGGGACGTGGGAGGCGTACAGCGACATACAACACGGTAGGTTTTAGAGTCACACGACCATACACTCGTACAGTGCTGGGGGTCTTATGGAGGGTTGAAAGTTGAAGCCTTCTGTGTCACCAGCCTTCTCTGTTTCTGTTTCTGTGCTCTACAGCTCTTGTGTGCTCGAATTTGGCATTTAGTCCGGCCGCTGCATTTTTAGACTTTGTTCTCCAGAGTTATCTCCGTCAAAAACCTATATCAAAGAACCTGTCGACAAACTTCAATGGTGTTCCTGGGCGACTGGTTCACTGGCACAGTGCACCATGTGACGAGTTCCGCAGAAAGCACAAGTTCCCACCTGCAAAGTGCAATATACCAAGCCATCTTTTGTCTCGCACAAACCAAGACTACGTACCTATTTATGCACGTACATATGTACACTTCTGCATCAAATATTTACGATACATTCCGACGTAAGCCTGTGCAAACTGCAAATTGCTTGGATGCGTTCACTTGAACGATGCCTGCCGCCAGTGTTTCTGCAAGAATGTTGCAGGTGGCTGTAGAGATACAAAGCGCATATGTTCGTACCTGCTATGTATATATGTATAAATCTCGCCGCCTCATAGACAAGAGGACCGGTCTCGATCCTCGCTCAACCTTTGCGCTTGTTGGTCATTCAAGCTTTGAGAGTTAATTAACGAAGGTTACTATCTTTTCATGAAGAAATTTCCAGGAATTCTGATTGGTCGGATTTTGGATAACAACTTTCCGAATCACACTTCGAGGTCACCACCACATCAGCGAATGATTCAGCCCAACCCCTTTCCCCCCTTTTTTGTAAATGTGCACAAAAGAGATAAATGAAGCCTGCCTGCCGAATTATGACAATATTTCGTCAAGAGTACATGATTAGAGTGCACAAGGCAAGTTGCGGAAGCCGGAAGGCAGAGCCTACTTTCCTTGGGCTCTCCGCGCGTTGAACGCTTTCAATACTGAAGCGCTGTCTGGCTCACACCTCAGTCATCTCACGCTCAGCGCCTAAGCAAGCCTGATGTGTACATGATCAGGCTCAGTTCTGACGCCGGTCACATTTGATTTACTCTCGACTGTCGATGTCAGGAGGTGCTGGCGATGTCCAGAGGATCGTACGTCAAAGAAGAAATCGTGATTGTAGTACCAGCATACAAAAATGTGAAGACGGATAGAACGAATATAAGAGTCTGCCTACGCGCATCGGGTGTTCTACTGGCCGCTTCTCGCACGTGTCAGGGCCCACCAGTACACAGTCATGGTCATACATAATCAAACTGGTCATTGATGATGCAATGACCTTTGCTGCAGAATGCATCTCGGTCTCGTCGGTCCGATGTCTGTGTTGGTCAATTATCTATCTCATTTCCTCGCGGCCATTATGCATTGTAATAGATCGTGGCAGCGCCAGAGGCAGTCGCTGCGACCGATGACGGGCGCAAATCGCGATCCTGTCAGTCGCAACTCGCAGCTGACGCAGGCGAATGTTGTTGTGTGGCAGGTTGGCAACGTGTCTTCGGGGTACCCAGGTCTCGAGGATCGAACCGCTAAGTAGCATCATGCCCTGAGAACAGAAAGTACACGGAAGTCGTCCTTGTTGCGCCCTGGTATAAGGTATAATCGAGTCTCGCGGCGCCAGCCTATCGTGCGATCGGGGTGAGGTGGGGGACCGCGGCTTTGCACCGAACGACACGTTGTCACGCGTCACGTGTCTCCAGCCTCTTGATGGAAGCGAGGGGTCCATCTGGGCTCTTGCGCGTGCACCAAAGCACCAACAACAGGACTCAACCCATGCAGGACCACAGTTGAAGTCAAGGGGCCATACAGTATGTTTCACCGTTCACAGTCAAAGACGACTTGCCGCAAGTCACGAGGACGCCAGTGAGAGAATTGCAGGACTTGAATGAAAAGCACACCCAGCTCTCGAGAAACTTCGGCGGTCCCAGCATTGAAGTTCCACTGTGAGGTCGGCGTGCGACATCGACCTGAGACCTGTGACTAGCCCTGACACTGAATGGATCCCTTCGATGCGTTCAACTGCACCAGGTTGTGATATGACCTCCCAACTCCTCCAATTCCAACCGTTCGCTTCGACGGTCCGAGCTGAATTTTGGCATAACTTCTCATCGCTGAAGATTGATGCATTGCAGCTGAGCGATGAGCACGTGCCGCTGCGTGCTTCGTACACAATCGGCAGAAGCGTATTGGATCGCAATGAGGAGAAGTGGGTGAACTTGCCTCCAAGCTTCGTGCTTGACGGGCAAGCCTTCGAAAGAGATCCTCAAACTGGCGGGGTGAGGGCTCCAAGTGCGACAGATGCGGTGTCTGAAGGGCCGAGCAAAAATAGCAGCGGGTCGCCTCGGCAAATTCAGACGAACAGCAGATGGCAGGCGAGCATACCTATGACAGGATACCTCAAGAATTACAACACGGTTGAAGAATTCAAACAGGCCGACAAATCAGGAATGTTTGATGAGCTAGCTGCGAAAGTGGGTTACCGAACAAGCATTCTCTCGCATTCTATATTCTCTTCCCCTGTACGTGGCAGACTGACTAGCACGGAATCTATTTGGACACTATCCTGCTCGCAGATCCTGCATGTCCTTTCAGAAGGTGAAAATCCCGAAGCGTACCTTAACCGCTTCTTCGTGCTTGCCTTCGCCGACCTCAAGAAGTTCAAGTTCTACTACTGGTTTGCGTTTCCCGCCATCATTGTCCAACCAGCTTGGCACATCGCCATTCCTCAAATCTCAGCATCAAGCTCAGAATCTGCGAATGGTCAGGAACCCTGGAGCAATGCAGCAAGGGAGATTGGACTCGAGACGCTCAAGGCTATTGATGCAGCCTTACCAGCCTTCGCTGCGGGCGGGAAAAGGAAGGCCCTTGAGATACCAGGGGATACAGCCTTCAACGGAGCTTTCCTGGTGCGGCATTCACCGTCGAGCGCTCAACTGGGCACTGTAATGGATTATGCCACCTTCTTCGCGCATGTGCCAGATGATCAAGTGGGTCGTGGCCCCTTCCACGCCATGCAGAAACGCCGTACCAGTGCTAACAACCCGCTTCGCGCTTCTCTGTAGCGCATTGTAGCATTTATTGACCCATCTTCGCATCCAACACAACCGGGCTGGCCACTGCGTAATCTACTCCTGCTTTTGCGAGCACGTTTTCAGATCCAGCGCATTCGTGTTCTGCGATGGCTGGACGAATCAGGGGCGTTCACGGATGATGCGGGAAGGGTCAAGAGCCTCGTTGGCACCGTTGTTCTGCCAGAAGAGACAGAAAACCGAGTCCAAGGTGAGACATTACGGTAGCGCAAACCCGTTGCAAGAGCTTTCATTGTTAACATGCACACTGGCTTGCAGAAATTACCGCTGTGAAATCGAAGCTGACAACTGGTTCTGGCCCTTCAGCATTGCCCATTCCTCAAGCCACCGGCTGGGAGCGCAATGCTCGCGGCGCTCTAGCACCTAAGGTGTCCGACTTGGGGCCATTGATGGATCCGACGCGTCTAGCAGATCAGGCAGTGGATCTGAATCTCAAGCTCATGCGATGGCGTATCATGCCCGAGATTCAGCTGGACAAGGTACAGCGAAGCAGATGTCTGTTGTTTGGTGCAGGTACTCTTGGATGCTATGTAGCGCGGACATTGATGGTGAGTGGTCGCCATCGGGTGGCATAGCGCTGGATCGCGTAATTGATGAAGGCGCGTACTCGTTCACGGTACACCCTTCGCGACAGGGCTGGGGCGTGCGGAATATCACGCTGGTGGACAATGCGCGCGTGTCGTACTCGAATCCCGTCCGACAACCTCTGTTCGACTTTGAAGACTGCCTGGAAGGCGGAAAGCCCAAGGCACATTGCGCTGCGGCAAAGCTCAAGAAGATCTACCCTGGAATCGTGAGTCTGATGCTCGAGCATTCCTAGTGAAGCCACATGCTCCGGATGATTGATGGTTCGGAATGTGCATGGTGCCTTTCAACTTTCCGTATCTGTGCACAAAGAAAGCAGAGGGACATATGCTCGCCATACCGATGCCGGGCCATCCCATTGCGGTGGGTTTACGAGAGCAGATGGAGAAAGACCTGACCAAGATCGAACGGCTTGTCGATAGGCACGATGTGGTCTTCCTGCTGATGGATTCGCGGGAGTCACGATGGCTGCCCTCGCTGCTCGGAGCAGCCAAGGGAAAGGTGCGTCTGTGCGCTGCTCAGTCGCATCCATGGACACCGGCTGAATCATTTTTACACGCTTGCAAATGTGTGACCGCACCATGCAGCTTGTCATCAATGCCGCACTTGGCTTCGATACCTATCTGGTCATGAGACATGGTGCTGGGCCAGAGGGCGCTTCCTCTCCTGTTGCTGTCCATTCCTCACCTGCGCCGATTGAGCCAGGCGCAGCAGGCGCCAAGCGGCTCGGTTGCTACTTCTGCAATGACATCGTCGCGCCGTCTGACGTGAGTTCATTTCCGTCACATATTTCCATCCGCGTTCACGTTTCAGGGGGCCCATGCTCATGCACTGTTCGTGCGAATCACTTTTTTTTTCACAGTCGCTGGCGGACAGGACGCTGGACCAGATGTGTACGGTCAGCCGACCGGGCCTTGCTGCTATCGCTGGTGCGTCGGCGGTCGAATTGATGATCTCTGTCTTACAACATAAATATGGGTACGTGGACGCGCATGATGCTTCTGTCTTTCAGCCGTCGCTCTGACACTCTTGCCCACTATCGCACAGCGTACGAGCGCCAGCGTCGATCTCGCAGCCTCCTGGCTCGCAGGACAGCGCTGCCGCTTCTGGCTCTTGCCTCGGCTTGATCCCTCACCAGATCCGGGGCTTCCTTGCGCAGTTCAACAACATGCTCATCACCGGGCAGTCGTACGACCGATGTACCGCCTGCAGCTCCACCGTCGTACAAGCCTACAAGGTGTTGGGGCACGACCTGGTGCTCAAAGCGTGTAATGAGGAAGGATACCTTGAGGAGCTCACGGGATTGAAGCAGATGTACGAGGAGACGGAGCAATTGGAGAAGGAGCTGGAAGTCGACTGGAGCGACGATGAAGGAGAGTCAGAACTGTGAAGGGTAGCACTGGCCTTGTCATCGCCGTACTGCAGCATCAGCAGGCAAGCTTGCAGCGCCCGTCCTCACGTTACGATGCCATATTTCACGGTGTACAATACAGCTAAGTCGCCATGGACCATTTCGAAGTGCTGATAAAGCGCCATATGGTCGTAAACAGTTTGTACATGTGGCTCTGATGACCTCCCCAAGCCCTAGAAGCACGAGGAATCACAATGGTAGGCGTCCGACAATTCATCTTTTGTGACTCCTGCGGGGCGACGCACGGGCCATGCTTATCACCTGTCGGACTAGCCCCATACGGCGAACGGGGCCACTCCGCCTGTGTGTTCAACACGGGTTGCCGAGCTTGCTTGGCTGTTTCCTCCTTCCACCTCATCGTTCTGGCTCGAAGTCTCGTACTTTGTCCACCCTCCTGTTCTTGGGCCAGCAGCACCAGCCAGTTCTCCTTATTGAAGGTTGATCCTCAAGGCGCATAGAGCCCTGCGACACATATCCCAGCTGCGGAGAGAGACCGAACCCTGCGAGCATCGGAGAGCTAAAGCGGCCGCGAAGGAGCCACGCGTCCCTATCGTACGTACATCGCAGCTCACTTTCACCACACCCTGTTCCCGCACACTCATTCGACGAGCTATTTGATGCGAAAGAAGCGACACGAAGTTCCTGGAAGGAAACTAGATATAAAAGACACGCGTGACCATGAGCAAGAAGATCTACCTTTGCAGGCACGCACAGGCCGAGCACGTGAGTCGAAAGCGGACGTCGTTTGCAGCGTAATGCTTCTTCCTGTATTTGCCCTGTGCGCCCCATGTATAGCTGGGGCTGAGTGCAAATGCTGAAATATTATGCTTCCACACTTGAACATGTCGATTCATCACGCAGAATGTTGCAGATGGTGAGCTAGAAGAAAACGCATTCGACGGGTTCAAGCCTCGGCTGCTGACATCATCAGATCACTGCATCTCTGTTCTTGCCTCCAGATTATTCTAGTGAGCGGGCTTGAGTGCAAGACCTCTTCAGAACCACTTTTCTCATAACAATGAAACTTTTGTCCCAATGCAGTTCCTGATGCGCCTCTGACCGCGCTGGGCAAATCGCAAGCAGCGGCACTCGCGCAGGACGCACGTTTGAACGGCATCCGCGACGAGATCCAGTTGGTCGTCTCCAGCGCGCTAAAGCGTACGCTCCAGACCACCAAGATGGGCTGGCCGCAGACGGTGGCACATACTGGTGGTTTGGGCAAGGTCATCTGCCTCCCGCAGCTGCAGGAGTGTAACGCCTACCCCTGCGACACAGGCTCGCCTCGCGAGGTGCTCGAGCAGGACGTGGAGCTTGCCGGGTTTGACTTCCCCCTCCTCACGCCAGACTGGAACTCCAAACAGGGGATCTATGCAGCGGATCCTTCGAGTCTCAACGCGCGTGCGCGATGGGTTCGCCAGTGGCTACGCGCACGACCGGAGAGCGTGATTGTGTGCATCGCGCATGGCGACATCCTCCGGCGCATCACGGGCAGGCAATATTCCTGGAAGAACGCCGAGGTGCAGCTGTGGACGTTCGATGAAAGTGAAGGTGCCGCTGCTGCTGCTGAAGAAGCGCCGGTCCGCCTTGTGGAGTACATCACTGCGGAAGGCAGGGCCGAGTCAATCAGCTCGGACGCGGCCGCCTCCGCGTCGAATGGCGGAGCAGCGGCAGAGGCAGAGACAGGCGCCAGCGGCGTATCGCTTCCCAACCTTGCATCCTCTGGTAGCTTCGACTTGAGCAAAGAACTTGACTCGGCCGCAAAGAAGGCCCTCGCGGAGATAGAGGAGCGCGTCAAAGCCAAAGCAGACGTGGTACAGAGCAAGGCGAACGAGCTGCAGGCTCTTGAAGCACGCTTGGCGGCGGCGGAAAAGAGGAAAGCTGAGGTGCGTTCTCTTGAGGTCTCGAGGTTGTTTCGGGGGGATCGAAAAAATGATTTGGGATGCGCCGCTTGTCCTGCTCACGAGCTGACACATCGCATCCAATATCCTTCTTTCACTTGGACAGCTCGAGGCCAAAGGAATCAAGGTCTGACTCCGCCGCATAGCACACACAAGTACATTTACAGAAACATTCATATATCAACACAACTCACCATCAACATCATCCACAGAGACATATGCATGCATATTCCATATCTTCAGAACGTACTGTTTCCCCGGCGCTCTACCAGACGCTTGAGCCGACGCCCCATGCGTCGCCTGATCCACCGCCACCCACGCCAATACCAACACCCGAAGCTGGAGTGGCACCTCCGGTGGCGCTCGCCTTGATGCTACCCCTTGCGTCATGCGCCTTGTTCTGTTTCTGCTTCTTCTTAACGCTCTTCACTTCTACAATGCCAACGACAGCACTGCGCTCTTCAGCCTTGGTGGGTGGGGCAGCAGCCGCATTGGCGACAATGGGCGCGCCACTGGACGGCGGCCGCAGTGCGGAAGGGGATGCATCTTTTGGCTCCCCTGCTAGCAGGTTGCTGATAGATGGCAGCTGTTGCTTTTTCGCATCGGCGACCTTGCTCCGCGTGTCTCTGCCTTGCTTGGATGGCTTATCCCTTGGCTCCTTCGGGCTCTTCACATTATCTGATTCATCGACCGCATTGCCAGAGGAAGGGGAATCTTTGCTTTTGTTTGCAGATTTGTCCGACTTTGACCCAGAAGCACTAGGCGGTGCTGAGTTTTTCATCTCGTTGGTCCCTTTTGGACCCTTATCGCCCTTTTTGCTAATTTTATCGTCCTTCTTGTTCTTCCCACTCTTTTTTGCTTCCTGCCTGCCCGCCTGCATTTTCGCCTGCTGAGGCGCGCTGTCCGTCTTCCTCTTCTTCGCACTTATGGGGCCATCGCTCGTCTCAGCGCCAGCATCCTCCTCAGCCTCCAGCACCACCTGCTGCCCTTTTCCGCTTCGCTTTCGCTTGCGCGCGCCGCTGGAGCCAAGCATCCGCTTCTCGGACGCGCGATCCCGGGCGTCTTCCTCGTCCGACTCGACCGCTTGCTCGACAACATCAGGCGTGACGTCCTCCAGGCCTACGTACCCATCGCCAGGGGCGGCAGCTTTGTGCTTTTTGTTGCCTCCCCTAGCCCCGCGCTTGTGCTTTCCATGGTGCTCGGATGCTGATCGAGCGGCTCCAACATTTTCCTGCGCCGCTTGATCCTTCGGCACCGCTCCACTCGCTGAAGCTTTTGTAGCATCGATAACTGCTTTGAATCCTGTTCCCTCGGCAACTGACTCCGCAGCGGGCAAGGCAGAAACGCCACCCTCCTCCATGCGCTTGCGCTTTGGTACGATGCTCGCATTGTTGAGCGTGCGCAGAGTGCAGTGGCATTCGAGTATCCTCACGCGGAAATTATCGGTCTCGGCAACCTCGTTCCCTCGGAGGTTGAGGTTTCGCAATCCTTTGCGACCGGATGCAGAAGCCGCTTTGCCGGCCTGCAGAAGCGGTTCTAGCGCACACCACGCATCGATCCCGCAGTCGCCAAGATCAATCAGCTCCAGCCCTGGCGCCTTTCCGTCCCGGCCCTTGCCCCAGCTCTTCAAGTGGGACGGTAGTGAGCCCAGACCGGTGTTGCCGTTCAATCGGACTTCTCGCAGGCTTGTGCATGGCGTAAAGTCCGGTAGCTTGCTGCCGTCCTTGAGAATATTGTGAGCAACACTGAATTTTTTGAGCGCGGGCAGGGAGCTGGGCAGTGTGGAAGGGATTGACGTGATGCGGTTGCGGGAGAGGATGAGAGTGTTGAGTTGCGGCATCACTGGTAGCGTGGGCAGAGCTTCGAGTTCATTTGATGACAAGACTAGAGCCCGGAGTGACGGTTGCAGAACTAATAGAGGCAATCTTGCCAAGGAGCAGCTTGATAGATCGAGAGCTGCAATTGATCTTGTCGTAAGCTTTGCTCCATCCTCCGTGAGCCTGACCTTGCCCACTTACAGAACAAGCTCGGTAGCACTTCCAAGCCGGCCAGTGCGCCTTCTCCCTGATCCGCTTGCGCCCTTCCCAGAGCATAGTTACCGCTCAGATTGACCGTTGTCAGCTCTTTGCCGAACCACACCTGCTCGATATCCTGGTCTCGCCTCTTCTTGCTCTCCCTCTTGCTCGAGTTTCGGCTCTCCAGTGCAGCTCGCCCGAGCCACTTGATGGAATCGAGGCCGTTTGGTTGGCTCTCGGAGGGCTCCATTGCCGAGAGATTGAGCTTTCGCAATCGTTTGAAGCGAGAGAGCGTTGCAGCTAAAGCATCGTACGCAGGAAGAGGGTGTGCAGACAGCTCCAATGCAGTCTGTTCAAGTAAGGAGGAGGTCGGGCTATCATCTTCTTCCTCCTTTAAGTTAGCACTTGCATCCGTTAGCTCCACCTTGGGCATAATTGGAACAATTTTGCTTGCCCCTTTGGAACCCTGGTGTAGCATTGGATCACGGTGTCCTGCCCGCTCTACCTGTGGTACTGGCATGTTGGCGACACCAGGATCGGGACAACGCTTGGTTCTGCGGCGGCTTCCCTTGTAAGTGTCGTGTTACTAAAGGCACCTGCGCATGAACTTCAAGTCCTGGAGCTCAGAATCTTGAAATTTTCAAGCAGAAGAGATGTGTGCGTTTCTCTCTGTGAGAGTCCGAGACCCATGTCCACCCTCACAGACAAGCTGACCAATGTCGGCGTCCCCAGAAAGAGCGCTGTGAGCATGATGATGCGTTGATGAAAGGAATCCAAAAAAGTGGGAGCGAGTTGCCGCGCCTGTGTCCCGAATTCCGAGATTCTGCGGCGGCGGCACTTTCATTGTCTTCACTGGCTCTGGCTCTGGCCTACGCACAGAAAGTGCGCGTGTGCGCCAGCCTCGCTCTTTCAGCTTCTCCAACACAACACTTGCAACACCTCCCATCTGGCAATCAAGTGCACATGCCATGCATCTAAGACATTCTTCTCTCGCCGACGGATGGCACAGCGACGCATACAGCTTCAACAAACTGATTGGCAGCGCGTGATACCCTCAAAAGCAAGGAAGATGGCTACCTTTGTCGCAAATCCGCAGCTGGCGAAAGACACGAATCCCAAGGACTGGGCGTATCATCTGGGTGAGCGACGACAATGGCACCAGGCACTCACCTATCCGTGGGACTGTGTCGGGCTCGTTCGACCTGGCATGGCGCCTTCAGCTGACAACCCCCCGCATTGTTCTTTCCAGGCTGCCTGCCTTTCAACGACTACATTGTGTTTACCAAGCAAGATCTGCTCGCCTTTCTCAAGTCGCACGGCATCGAGGTAGGGCCCAACTACACCGAGATCAATAAATTGCCGAAATACGCCACCATCGGGTCTTTCTCCTCTGATCCCTCCGGCGCTTGGAGAGACCCGGTGGCTTTGAATGATGCACACGTTACCTCGACTGTCAAGAGCTCTAGCACCCCGGCTGCCGCTGCGTCGTCGAACCAGGTGCGCATGCCAGATGGGGACGTGTTCAGAGCAAGTCGTCGAGTGCGCGAGCCTGTTGGCGGGGGCAGCGAGCAGGTGGGGAGCCTTTTCGCTCCCATGGATGAAAAGAACGACCAGATTGTCCTCGGGGGCGGAGGGACAGGCAGGCAAGGCGCGGCCCCTCCGGCAGCAGACGTTGACCAGTTTGCATCGCTAGCCGTCTTGGATCCCGGAAGGTCCTCTTCCCCTGCCACCAGTACCATGCAAGTGCATGACGCCTCCGGTGCCGCCTTCAAGCCGACACGCCGCGTGAGAGAGGCGGTCGGTGGGGGCAGCGAGCAGGTCGCTAGCTTGTTTGCGCCTGTCGATGCATACGACGAAAGCTCTGCCACATTGGCAGGCGGCAAGGGGAGGAGGGGCATGGCGGCGCGGGTGGGTGACAATGCCTCATCAGCCTGGGCAGATGGTAATGGCGATAGAAACGCCGGAAGAAGGGGCGATGCACATGCTGCGACGCAGGAAGATCTGGACCGGGCGCAGAGGGAACAAGTCGCCGCTCAGACATTCAGGTGAGTGCTTTTTAGCTAATGATGCGCGGTCCAGCGGGGAGGCTGAGGCTCTTTTCTCTTCCATGCATCCAGGCCGACACGTCGGGTGAGAGAGGCCGGTGGCACAGGCGGCACATCCAGCATTGTGCTTGGCTGAGAGGAGGCAGCGCGCAACTTTCGCATCATCAAAGTGATACCCAACCATTATTCTCTATTCAGGCAACACGAATGTGCCGTGTGGCCATTATCATCAGTAATACAAATGCCTTCCTGTGCGAACGGGTATCTACTGGCGTACGAGAATTTGGGTACAAGCTATGGATTCTGCTGAAAGTTTGCCTGGATGAGCAACGGGACGAGATCAGGTGTGGTTTCATAATAGTCGAGGTTAAAGATGCATTTCAGTGGGTTGGTCGCCCCATTCCACGGGAGGGGCGCGACCGCGCCCTTCTCGCCTAAAGCTGCCAGAGGGCTCGTCCTGCTGGCTTGTAACAGTTGGTTCGCCACGTAATCGAGGATGCGCTTGTTCATCCCCGTGTAGCCGAGCGCGCCCATGGCGACGGAAGGAGGGAGTGCCAAGGGAAAGGATGACCCGTTTGCGAAGTTGATGGACAGCGTGTTCGGATCCGAGCCGGAAGAACTGAGCAGCTTCTGCATCAGCTGGAATTTATCGCCTAACGATCCTAGGGTCCCGACGTTGTACCAGTCTTGCGTTTCTACCTTCTGACCGGAGGGAATAATGTAAGAGAATCTAAAGAAGGACGTTGGATTTTCAGGGCCCAAGTCGGAAGTCTCACAAGCAGCGGAGGGCGTACCCACATGTCTTTCTCGCTGTTTGGCCAGATGGAGGGATGGATCCCGCCAGGTTGGTCGCTGCTGCTACCGTACCGGCTCATGAGGATTAGCTTCCCGCGTGCCTCACCCAGCGTTGGCACTCGAGGTTCGAGGAACCATCGTGACTTGGTTGGGTTGAGATAGACCTGTTCGAAGCATGCTTGCATCGTCGCCGCGTCCGCCTCTGGTTTCATGCTGATGATGACCGTCTCGCTCTTTCCGACACCGTCCAGGAAGTCCCAGCACTGCGCCAGCACTTGCCCGAACTCGATGCGCTCGTCCGTGACGCCATGATAGGCGAGTAGTTTTTGCTGCGAGGGGTATCCTTTCCCTTTGGCATTGACACGGACATCAAGGAAGCGAATTCCAGCAGCCAGCTGCGCGGCGACAGTTGACGCAACGTTTTGGCAGGTCGAGATGGGGTACCCGTACCGCGCAAGAGACTCATGCGTACCCGGAATACAGAATGAAGACAAGGGTGCGGACGATGGAAGTTTCGACATCCATGTCTCCGGATCGACGGTGGAGAAGAGCAGAACGTGAATCTTCGAACCAGAAGGCGAAGGACGGGTCTGAAGAGCGTAGTACGGAAACGGAGCGTTACCGGAGATGGCCTCGACACGCTGCCAAGTGCTAGTCTGGTAGTATTTGAAAACGCCTACCAGGAAGCCTTGCGGTTTCAGTTGTACCAGTAGTGTAATCGATTGCTCTCTCTTCTGGGAGACATTCCCAACCGGGGTTTTCGGAGTCAGGACCAGCGGCACCGTGGGGGACGAGGCAAATTTGCTTTCAGGGGCCACGCTTAGGATGCAGGATGTGCCTTGTTGGACTCCATTCGGGAATTTGCGTGCAGGAATATTCGAGCCAGGCTGGCCAAGTGCGAAGACCAGCGCAGACGCAGTTGCTTTCAAAGTGAGGTCGTGTACATGGATCTCGAGGAGTGGAGAGGGTGAGCTCGAGGACGGCGCGACGGTGGACAAGCACCCCACGGTGGACGAGCATGTTGGTGGCATACGGGAAGGGAATAGTGAGGCTGATCTTGACACAGGTTTCGACGCGCACTCTCTTTTATCATATATTGATACAAAGGGGCAGTCAACTCCTCTCAGTGTTGCAAAGGCATACAAATCGATGGCAATAGCAAAGTTGTGACTGTTTCTCTATCTAGTGCACCTATTGATAACGGCATACGGCTGCACTTGAGTTAATGGTAGGAAAGGAGAGCTAAAGTTGCACCGACTGCGCAACTGTTCCTGCATGACCGCATTGTGCGTCCCATTTTCCCCAGATTGTTCACGTATGTTATTACCCCGACCGTTAGCCGCCACAAAGTTGTCCGTGATCCACGTAAACGTGTTGGACCACAACCACTGGCTGGCCAATTGTCAAGCCTCCCGCAGCGGTGCCATGTTGCGGGATGCTTGACACTCTTTACAAAGATGCGTGAAGTCAGACACTTTCGCCGCCAAAGATGCGAACCTGTGCGCCGGAGAGCGAGGACAAAGTCGCCATGCCCCGTGTGTGTATAGTTGTTCTGCGCACGAATTGCAGAATGCGCTCGATCTCGGATTCGGGTACGACCACCACCAGTCTAGCATCTGCATCCTCTTCATCCTCGTCATCCTCCGTCGGAAATTCGACACGTTAAAGCAAGTAGTCTTTGAGACGGAACCGTTGCAAGATATCGCGCAACATGTCAACGCGGGGGAAGGCCACAGGTATCTGAGCTACCTGCTCGAGTTGGCGATACGCCTCCCTCTGCGGGCTGCAGAACGAATCTGCGCCCTGCTTCGCGACGGACACATGCGCCTCTGAGGGAAATGGACTGCGGACGCCTAAGTGCGACCGTTGCAACGACTAAAGGCAGGATTCTGGAAGCCACGTCAGCGATAGCATCTTGGACGCAGCAAAAAAGGGAGGATGAACAATCTTGTGAGCTTTATTGCCAACCTCGGAGAGTGCTACCGCGGATGCTGTGAGATGGTCGTCGCCCTCATGATGAAGCAGACCCTGCACGATCGCACTTTCGGTCTTGTGGAGGGCACTAGGCGTGTCGGTAATGAAAGGCGGCAAGCGGTCGACCACCTTCTTGAGCGCAACAGCGTCGCGACGTCCCACGCTGTAGGTGGAGTGAGCGTCTTCCCATTTGCGTGAGACCAAGGCCAGTGGATAGTCGGCACCGTCTCGGCGGACGAATAGTGATCGACCTAATCCGACGAGCGAGGCGTCGGTGCGTACGACTAGCTGCTCGCCGGGCGTGTGGAAGTGAAGCGAGCAGGCCGCGGCGACAGCCACCCTCACTGTCTCCCACGCCCCCGGAAAATCGTCATTCCAGCGCGCGCCTTTGCCCGCATCCGATGTGGCCGTACAAAGGCACGAGCGGACACCCGCAATTGGGGATAAATATCGACAGGTATTGCACAATCGCGGCTGGCCAGTGCAGGTTCCCCAGTTGCCTCGGGGTGGCCAGCGCGAGGATATCGGCGATGCGCGTGTGGGTCGGGCGAAGCTCACTTGCCGACCAAAGGGCGCCTAGTACGCGGACGTCTTTGGTGTCATACCAGGTGGATGACTTGAGATTCAGCGTGACTTTCGCGTCCTTCAGGAGGCCGAGTTCTTCACGAATGTGGTCATATAACCGGGCGTCTTCGTTGCTTAATGCCGATGTTGATGACGTAGGACAAGGTGATGTGACCGACCGGCTGCAAGAGACTCTGTTGGAACGCCATCGCCAGCGCCGGCGGTTGGGACGCTCCCTGCGGCAGGTGCGCGAGTCGCAGTCGACCGTATCTCCCTCCATCGAAGGCGAAGAAGTCGCGAACGCGCGGAAGCAGTGGATATTCGTGGAGGAATCGATCGAGCAGACGGTCATCGTCTCTGCGAGGAATGACCAGACATCGCCAATGCACAGCGGAGTATCGCTTCGGCTCGAGGAGCTCGTTGGCCAGACGAGCCTCCATTACCACGCGAACTTTCGACGGCTCACTGATCTCAACGAAGGCGACGTTGCCCTTTCCCTTAGTCTTCCCGACGATGCCCTTCTCCGCCCAATCTCCAAGCATCCCTTTGAGCTCCCGGTGCGCAGCTGGTGAGAGCTGGAGGGAGCGGGCGTGCGGTGGCGTCTAACCCTCCACTCAATCGAGTCGGACTGGAAGGATCGGTATCGACGGCGAAGCTTTGGGTGCGTACTCTCTCGTCAGATAAGGTCTTGACAAGAGTATGTCATGGAGTGCTTGTCGCTCGTGTTTTGACGCACCTGTACCCGCACACATGCGCCACCGACCCCACCCCCACGCTCTCCGCAGAGGTGGAGGGGTAGTTGCGCTTAGTCTGGTCGGATTCAAGTGTGTGGTAGGAGGTGAACAGCCCGGTGATAGCTTTAGCAGATGCGGCCGTCAAAGCGCGCTTGGCCAATGCGAACGCCTTTCCGCCGAGCTTCAGCGCATTTTGACCACCCAGGAGTTCATTACCGTGCGCTTGCAGCCAGGGCTTGCCGAGAATAGTGTCGAATCAGTCTGCCTGCCTCACTTTTGCTGCCACGGGAGAGCGCACTGCCGGCAGCGAAGGTGAACTGGTCGATGTCTGACAAGTAGCAACCATCTCGGGCTCGCGAGACCGGGATGTCGCTACGAGCGATAGTGGCATGCCGGTTGCTGCTCGCCATGGCAGGGCGGAGGCGGCCGCCCGCGCTGGCATGGCTCACGGCTGTCTCGAGTCGGGCGAGAAGCTGATCGACTGGATCGGAGGAGCGGAAGACTCCCAGAACCTTCGAGCCTGTCATCTTCGGGCAGAGGGCGTTGAGGTTGAGCAGGAGGTGATCGTAGGCCGGTGTAATGGTGCGGCGGTTGACGCCCACCGCCTTGTGCCACTTAGGCAGGTAAAAAGAGATCATCGTCGTACTCCTGGGTCATCCTGTCTGTCAGAGCCATCATGTCCCTGCTCAGACGAACGACATTGCCATGTCGTGCGGGCTCCTCCTCGGCTCGCCTGTCGCTGGAGCCAGTGCCGCGATCGTCCTGTGGATGGGGCTCGACAGCGGAGTGGGGTCTGGCTTCGGTGGCATGTAACGGAAATTTTATCCCAAGACGGTTCACAAAATAAGAGACTTCAATGGATTCTGTTGCGACCAACGGCGCTCACAATAGATCAATTTCCAGAGGCGTAGAGACCCTATGCGAAGGCAGGGATGATGTCTAGATTCATAGAATTCTTAGGGGCATACGAATGCATATAGCATAGTCGACCTTGAGTGATAAAAGGAGAAGGAGTCGCTGGAGGATGCATGCCGTTTCAGGCTCAATGGATGGTCACGTGTTCCTTTCCGTCCTTCACAACAGTAAACCATCTAAACGGTCGCATCATGATCTTCGTCCAACGTTTGCCCTCAGCGTCAGATGGAGCTGCTTACACCCGTCGCGGGCAGCTCGACCCGCAGGTCTTCCAAGGGCGAGGGCTGTAAATCGGCAAAGAACCAAGCAGCCGAAGTCTGGCTTGCATTCAAGGACGCCGTGTGGACCATGTTAGCGCCGGCCTCTCTGTACACCGCTTCGACTGGCCTTTGTGCAGACTCTGTGGAAGCTCACCCGAGCATGTCCGGAGTCTTTGCGCTTGGAACTTATCATGTAGACAAAGAAAGTGCTCAAGCTGAAGAATTAGATGGGAATACTAGCATCTCTCCAGCATATACCCGTCGCGGGACGGTAACCCTTTACAAGGTCACCAAGACACCCGTGCCTGCAAAGGTCAATTGGTACGTTGACACTGTGATCACGGTGATCTTGCCCAGACACTTGCTGATCAGAGAACAAAAAAGTCATCCCATCCACCAGCAGTTTACACCAGCCATACTAGACATGAAATGGTTCTCCATAGGCTCGACGCCGGGTTCGCTAGAGCAAGATATTCTCTCGGTTGCAACGGCGACCGGTTGCGTGGACATGTTCAAGCTGCTAGGCTCGCAACAGTCAATGAGCTTGAAGAAGGACTCATCATGGTACATTAATCCGCGGAAGTCTCTCTGTCTCAGCCTGGATTGGTCAAATCGTCGTCAGAACCGCGTACAGAGCACCCTTCAGGATCAGAAATTGATCGTTAGCCAGAGCGATGGGACACTCGCTTTCTTGCCAAGTGTCTTACGGTGTCTCAACGGCGACGCATCCCCTCAAACCGTATTAACCAGAGAGGAAAAAAAGAATTTCATAGGACAAGGAAGAGAATGGAGCGGTGACGAAGAAGAAGATGGAAATGAGGATGCGGATCAGGCGCAAGCTCATGCACTTCTAAATGACCCTGCTCAGTGGGAACAGCAAGGGAACGGTCAAAATTCATATCCTGCAGGCCTCGAGACATGGAAAGCGCATGACAACGAAGCATGGATTGCTGCCTGGGACTGCTGGTCGCATGGTACGGTTGCATGGAGCGGTAAGCCAGATATGACATGATCGTTTATGTTTCACGGCTGACGTCTATCCTCGTCACCGCAGGTGCTGACGATTTGACGTTGAAAGGCTGGGATATGCGAACGCCAAATCGGAGGACTGGTCGGAAGCCCACCTTCATTACACGCAAAGGGTGAGAATGAGCCATTTGAGTGCGGGACGGAAGACCCGCTGACCTCTCGCATCCTACTTTTTGATTCAACACAAAAGTTTCGATGGTGGGGTGACTGCTCTTGAAAGCCATCACATGCGTGAACACATATGGGCCGTTGGCAGCTACGATTCGCGCCTACGAATATTCGACGCTCGGCAGCCTGCGCGGCCTGTGATTGATCGCGACGGGTTTGACGTCGAAGGCGGCATCTGGCGCGTCAAGTGGCATCCTACCGATGCGGACACGCTGCTCGTTGGTGCGATGCATGGGGGATTCAAAGTGCTGAGCATACCTCCAGCAGACCAAAAGGGACGCATGGAGTTGCTAAGTCGATTCGATGAACATGAAAGCATCGGGTATGGCTGCGACTGGGACCGAGGCGATCTCCTTCAAGAGGGAGGAGACACGTTGGTCTACTCTGCCTCCTTTTATGACGCTCGCTTGCACATCTGGAGTGCCTAACTGTACTGCAATATAATTGCATGCAGAAGTGTGAGCTTTTGCTAAAGGGAAATTCTCGTCCTCCTTCCGGCAAGTCAATTTCAGAGGTGATATAACCTTCAAAAATGCGATATGATGCAAATGCGCAAATGCGTAGAAGTACAGAATGTGTCTATTCTAAGAGGTCACGGTTGAGATAGCGCGGCACTGAGGGCTGTGCGTGCCAGGATCATCTCAAGCGCGCCCTTGACCTGCGTAATGTTGCGCTGCAGCTTGATCTCATCCGAGATCTTGGCCCATATGCGCCCGAGCATGTCGTCCAACAAGGGTGACTGTCCAAGCACGTCGGCGTAGCAGTCAATGAGGACGTTCATGGTGTCGGAGACGATGTCCACGTAGGCTGGATTAGAAGCATGTTTGAGCAGGAACTTGAGCAAGGGCTCGAGCCCGACGTCATCTCTTCCCTGAACTGCGCGTCGAATTCCATCTGGGCCGCCGTTGGTCGCTGTCACGATTGGCGAGCGATGTGTGAGCTCCAGCAAGAGGGCAAATGTCACGTTGGCAGGTACATTCGGACGCAACACTGCATTGAGTGCATCCTGATAACGGAACGCTTTGAGAAATTTGTCGTAATCTTTGAGCTTGACGCTTCGTACACTCGCGACACGTACGTCATCGCGGCTTCGTCGCCCTGCGTCTTGGCCAGGGCCCATGGTGCTGCCGGCTTGTTGAGCTGCAGCAGCTGCATTGCCTTGCAAGAAGGAGTCGTAGCTGCCCCCTATTAGTGCAGCTTTTCGCTCTTGTCTACGTTTGATCTCGCTCTGCTTCAGCTCGCGTTTCCGGATGCACAACGTTCCGTCCGCCATGCCAACCGCGAGATGGCTCTCATCAGGTGACAGAGCCATGCAGAGGATCTGTGCGGGATAGCGCATGGTATGCGTCACCTTGAAGCCTTTAGACGGGTCATAAATCTTGATAAGATGATCCAGCCCCCCTGTGAGAATGCGCATACCGCTGCTGCCAAGACCAATGGATCCGAGTGCGCCAGGTGCTGCGCTGACATTTGCATCGCTTTCCATCGAGATTGCGAGGCTTGTGATGGTCTTTTGATGATTCGAGATGGCCTTGATGCATCTCCCACCCATCATCAGATCCCAAGCTCGTAATACTGGCCCTCCGACACTGAGAGCAACACCTCCGCCTGCAGTAGGATAAATTGCAATATCTTCTACTGGTGCCTTGTGGTCCATCTGTATGACCTGCCCCCCATTCTCGTGCACGCGAGCATCCCATAGGCGCACTGTCGCGTCGTAGGAGCCGCTGAGAAGAAGCGACGGATTGTCTGGTGATACCATCGCAGATCTAACATAGTCGCTATGTCTAGCGAACGTTCGCACTGCCGACTGAGATGGAATGTCCCACAGCCGGACAGTCTGGTCGTCTGATGCTGAGAGCACCTGGGTCGGGGCCGAAGAAAAGCGGGTAACGTGTACAGGTCTGCGTTTACGGACGCGAGAATGGTCAGCTTCGACGTGTTTATCGGGACTGCCATGGAATGCTCACAGCTTATGCCCCTTGAACGTTCGCAGGATTGCCCTCGAGTTGACATCAAAGACTTGAATTAAGCCCGAGTCATCGCCTGCTACGAGCAGCTTTCCGTCTGCTCTAATATTCCCACTTCTCGCAACGTCGCCAAATCTTGACACTGTTTTGACGACTTTGTCCGTGCGCATGGAATAGAGCTGCACCTTTGTTCCTGAGGTGACTGCATACCGCTGCGAAGAGGACGCAGCTGCAGATGTGCTCCCACCTGTCGAGGACGCTTGGGGGATGAGTGGGTTGATGAGCGCATTGTTTGCCTGATCAGACCCAGGAGCGGGAACCGTGGGGGCTACTGAAGAAGCCGGCACAAAGTGAATGGAGGTTATGGGGGCATGCTCTTTGATGAAGACAGGTGACCGGAAGCGACGCCAATAATTTGACTCAGGCGAGGATGTGCGTGCATTCGCACCCAGCGCAGGTGCTCCCGCAGCCGTCCGCGCGTCGATGGCGCCAAGATTGAGCTTTTGGTAGTTCATCTTGTCGTGTTGCCACCAGTTCGTAGGCACCGTGGGTCAAGCCTGTGCCGGTCGAAGATAGTCTACACTGACGTACCCTGTTCAAGGAGATGAATACAGCTCGTCCACTAGAAGTCCTCCAAAAAATTGATTTGACTTTTGACTTCTCTTCACGAGAAATTAGCTTACATAAGCATATGGGCTTTCTCGGCACGCAGTGCGGCTTCTGATCCGTCCGTCGTCTGGGGTTGTTACTAGTAGTTTTCAGGCTCTTACTATATTGGGTATCCAGGGTCTTGCTAATGGATGCAACTCAACTTGGCAGCCCTTGAGATTCTCGTCCGCAACTAGCTGGGGTCAGACTGTATCCAAGCGTGAGGAAGGCGCGTCTCTTGTCTGCCGGAGGTAGGCGCGCTTGTTCTCCCCGTTGTACCGATCTGATCAACGTTGAAAGCAATCCGCTCATCAGAACCTCCCAGTCAGCCGCTTTTGCAGCATGGCACACGTTGTCGAGCCGCTGGACGCACCGTCTCCCTGTGGGTTGCTGCAAGGGCTCATTGACAGTGACCTCCTGTCTCGAAGCGCTGGGAGCGCTCAAGCCCAAGCTCTCAGCACGATTCTGACGCGTGTTGTGCACTTTTGCAGATCGTGATTCGCGGTCAAATATCTCAAGAGCGCAGCACTATGAAGCACTAGCGCAGACGGCAACGTTGTATGTGGGCAACCTTTCATTCTAGCAAGTATAACGGGACACAAAGACTAGATTTTTCTTGTGGCGATACTGATAACTTTACCTGCGCCTTTCATCTGGATCAGCACAACAGAAGAGCAAATATACGAGCTTTTTTCGCGATGTTCGCGGACATCTGCCGGCAGCGGGATTAAGCGCATCATCATGGGCCTTGATCGTAATACGAAGACGCCCTGTGGCTTCGCTTTCGTCGAGTGCGTATGAATTTCACTTCGATCTTGCATCTACAATGCTAGTTCACTGGTGGTCCGCATCTGATGGCTGTCGCGCGCATTTCGCAGGTACTACACACACGAAGAAGCCGTTGACTGTATGCGTTACATCTCAGGGACAAAGCTTGACGAACGACTCATCCGCTGCGACTTGGACCCGGGGTACAGGGATGGACGCCAGTACGGTCGGGGCAAGTCAGGAGGGCAGGTTCGGGATGAGTACCGAGAAGAGTACGATGCCGGGCGTGGAGGTTGGGGCCACAACAAGCTCCGTGAGGAGGAGGAACGCAAGCGACGAGAGGAAATGATTCGGAACGTTTATGGTGCAGCTCATGCGGACGGGCGGCCGAATGAAGAGGGAGACGAGACGCGAATCATCCCATCTGGTGCCGAGGGCGTGTACGAGGAGATGGAGGGCAAGGAACGCGCTGGCGAAGGTGCATCCGCATCGGCGGGTGCAGGAGAGAAGCGTCGGCGAGACGATGCCAATGAGGATGACGAAGATGCGAGGAAGGTAAGTGTGCAAGCTCCCGAATTGGAATGTTTAATACCAAGCTCATCCCTCACACCCTCGCCCCCAGAACCCGCGGTTCCGAGAAGATGATGAGGATGATTGATGATTTCGGAACCTTGCTGTCGTGTGCCAGCAACAACAAGATGCCATCATGTACCATAACGCACACGAAACTCTTTCCAATGGGTATCGACTCACCGGTCTGTAAACCGAGCCAGAGCGATGGAATCGGTGACACTGACGGGCTACTTGTGTTCAGCATCTAGCGCTGTCGGTCTCAGACGCGATCGCTGGCGGGGTATGCTAGCGCGCCAGAAGGGCTGGGAGGGTATTTGCCCAACCCCATCTCCATGTCACATCGATGATCATCAAAAGGTGCTGTGAATCCAGGCTTCAGGTGTGGACTTGAGCAAAGCCAGTTTGCGTATGGTCAGATGTGAATACAAAAGAGTTGACTCAGTGGATATTCTACTATATGAGCGATGATGTCTGTATATTAAATGGTATCTTTCTCCAACAATCATGACCCCAGCCGCTAAGATGAGAATCTGGCTGAGAGCGTGGATGGCCTCGGAAGTGTGATGCGGACTTCTCCTTAGCAATCGACGCCATTTGCCGCGGCTGTGAGCTTGTTGAGCGGGAAAGGCGCGTCGAAGCGCGTCAAGTTGGGGTTAGTGTACAGGTTCGGGTGCCGCTTGATATAGTCGGCTGTAGGATAGTCGGAGGGATCGCAGGAGACCTTGGGCTGGCCCTGCTGATAGAGCCGCACATAGTCGAACTTCATCTGCGCGGGGAATGAGACACCTGCCTTAGTGAAGTCGATTGGTTGGAAACCGCTGGACATGCCTAGGTTCATGCTGAGACCGCCAGAAGCGTAATGGCATCAAATCGGAAGATGGGTTGATTAGCACATGCAAACAGACAGCGCCGGCGACTGGGAAAGGCCAGACTCACATGATACTCATCGGCTCAGCAGGGATGAGGCGCTGGCCAATATCTAACTCCGGCACAGGGCCCAGGGCGCTTCCCTTGACCTCCCACGTCGCTTTGCCATCGACGTACCAGCGGGTGAAGCCGCCGCCGTTCTTGTTCCAGTCGGGCTCGTACTCTACGCCGTAGCGGACAAAACGGCCGCCGGTGGTGGGAAAGTTGTCGTCGGGGCACTGCGTGACGCTCGAGACGGCCTCTTGGTAGACAGATCCATGGTATGTGTTGATCACGGTATCGCTGTTGTAGAGGATCGCCTGCGTGCTCTTGTTTCCCCAGAAGTACTCGACGTCGAACGGAGCCGTCTGGATCGACTGGGACGCAAAGCTGTGTTGGCTGCCGTCCTTGCTCTGAATCTGCGCCTCGATGATGTCGATCTCCGGCGCACTGCGTCCGACGTTGTTGTTAGGACCGGGGTGGTCTTGCCCTTTGCAGGTGCATGCGGGGGCGCGCATGCCGGACAAGCGCGATAGCTGACCGTTCTTAGCGTACTTCGCTTTGGAGTGGATGGCCTTCTCTGGCCCTGTTTGGTTCAGGAATGTCTGGTTGGGAAGTATACCCGTGTCGCACGATGAATACGAGTAGGGCCACATCCCGTCCGTGGAGCCAAGGTAACCCTGCAGGTTTAGAACAAAAAGAGTAGGCGTCAACGAGCCAGATTGTCACGGCTGCGCATCGAAACAAAGAGCATATAGAAGACTTACAGGCCGAGCCAAGTTGCCCATGAGCCTGCAATGAAAGTGGGGAAGGACGGTCAACGGATGCGCTCCCCTCAGCAACGCGTCGAGCCCCCGCCGATTCTCTAACTTACCAAGCAGCAGGCCAGTAGCCAGACGTGCTAGGCCCACCAGGCTGGAGGAGAGAGAACTCAATGTACCCTCCCTGGAAGCAGAACTTATTCCAGCTCTGCAGCATGCCGCTCTGGAAATTGAGATTGTGCGTCTCCTGCGCGGTCATGGTGATGACGAGGTGGCCGCCGGTGGTGTTGATCGCTTCGGGTGAGTACCACTCATAGTCTCCCGTCGCGCCGTACCAAATGTCTACCGCTTCCCAGTACGGGTCGTCTGCGTGTCAAATGGGAGGAAAGGCTGAGCAAGATGATTTCCGCGATAACGATGCGAGATGCATGCGCGGCCCTGTCCCTTCACGTACCTCCTGGCCAGAATGTCCGTCCTTCCTGCTCAAACTCATCGCTGAATACGAGTGTGTACGTCTGCTGGTCAATATTGGTCCACACTCGCGCGGTGTCAGGGGTGGAGGTGTCGACAAGCAGGCGGGTGGGCAGTTGCGGGATCTGGCCTGACGAGTTGGTCCCTCCGAGGCCGATGCCGAGCTTGGAGAAGAAGTCGCTCGTGCTCATAAAGTGCGATAGGATTGGGTAGCCTGCGAAGAGCATGAGCAGGCTGAGCGCGAGGATGATGAGCGTGGCAATGTTCAGGCATCCTCCGAAGGAGACGCCGTGATTCTTGTCTCCTTTTGTGTCGGGAACGTGCTGCGAGCGATCATCAGCGCGGATGAGCAAAGCGCTGTTGGCCCAGCCTCTGCGTCTCCACTTACCAGATAGTCGTCTGCTTCTGGAGCATTCGCAGCGGCAAAGTACGATGACGGGCCCATGGCGTATCTGCTAGCTGCGACGCTGCCCGAGGCGCCCGAGTGGCCGCTGCTTTTGCTCCCATTCCGCTGATGCGAGTAGACTCTCCCAGCGTCTATCCCTCCAGATGCGCCTGTAGAACTGCCTCCCATGGCCCCGGGTGGGTCGTAATGCCTGGATCCTGGCGCCGATCTAGGTGCATACGACGCATTGGACGAGTTGCCCATCCCGCTCTGGTTGGACAGCAAGCCGGACTGCTCACCCTCGCTGCCGTGTGACTGGCTGGACAACGCGTCTGCGGGCGCCGCCGAGCGGGAAAAGGGAGGCGAAGAGCCGTTGTAGCGCTGCGGCGGTCCGCGACGAGCGCCGCTGCTGGAAGATGCGCCAGAAGAGGCGGAGCGTGAGCCAGAGGCGGACGAGTACGAGTTGGGAGGTATGGGGCCGATGCCGCCTGCGGGGCCGTAACCGGCGGGCGAGCCTATTGGTGACGTCGGCCCATCGAGGCGGCTGTATGTTGGCATGGTGTCCCAGTGTATGCGCACCTTCTTGCGGAAATGGAAGCAAGCCCACCGCTTCGAGCCACGTAGAAGAGTAGCGAAACGGGGTGAGTTGTGATGGCACGAGGATTGCAAAGGTGTCGCCGCTCGGGATGAAGGTCCCCAGGAACGACGATGGGGCTTCGCTACTGCACAGCGATAAAGAGGTAGCAGAGATGCGTTCAGGGTTAGACACACTTTGGAGGGATGAGTATGTTTGTTCGACTACAAGCTGATCAACCTCTGGCAATGCTCACGTCACCACTCATGGTAGCATCAATGTACAGACAGCCTCAATACATAGCGAAGGAAGGGGGTGTGTGCGTTTGTCCGCACACCCACCCATGCGCACGGGGAGAGAGGAAATATGATAGGCGAGAGGAAGCTGTCGAAGTCAACATAACCCGAACTAGCGCGGGGCCGCGGCGAACAGCAACGAGCCACAGCAGCGGTGTTATCTGCCGCCCAACAAGCATCACTGTCCACATCCAGAATTCAGCGCCAGTCGATAGACCGCCGGTTCGCTGACCCATTGGTTGTGGTGTGCTTGACAGTGATCTCTCTATGTCCGGACACTGTCTTACCCAAATAAACAATAGCACTGGAGACGCACAAGGCCATGCTTCAGTCTCCAAACACAGGCAGGGTGCAGCACTCCCTCGCGGCGGCTGGCATAGCCCTCAAACCGCCCTGCGCTTTAGCGCTCTCCCCTGCAGTGGGCCGCTGGCACGCGGCATCGCGTTCACAGCACTGCAATGCCACCGCAAGTTGGGATCCTGTGAGATTTGGGATTGGCGACATGCTCTTCACTACATCTGTGTAGCATACAGCACAGAGCTTCCTTTGCGCACACTGCACGAGGGCGAGGTTGAACGACATGGCTGTCGGCGACGGCAGGCACTACAACGCAATGCATGCCGCAGAACCCTATTTTAGATGAAGGAGCAATGGCAAGCACCTGGGTGCGCAAGAAGGCCAACATTACAGACGAGGACTACATGCAGTAGCCAGAGGAACCGCAAGGGAGAGCAACAACAATGTAACATGAATAGACGCCTTCCTGTTGCATACATATACTACATACGAAGTAAAGATGAGGCCACTCCCCCCAAAGTAGATCGCAAAATCTGATCGTCTCAGCCCAGCGCAGGTGCGGGCTCGCCAGCCTTCCATGTGAACTTGCTCGCGTAGTGATCTCTCCGGAGACGCGGCTGCCCGAGACCGTAGAGATGCTCGCGCAGCGTGACACCGCCCGCACTCTCCTCTCCAAAGCCAGGCTCGCCGGTCTTCTTGTGCGCCTGCGGCTGTGCGGGCGGCTGCGGCTGCGGGTAGTCCGCCCAGACGTGCCCGCGCCTCTGCAGCTCCGGCGTGACGTACTTGATAAAATCCTGGAACGTGCCCGGTGTGATCGCGTACGCTAAGTTGAACCCGTCGACGCCCGCTTCGTTCACCCACTTCTCCAGCTCGTTCACCACCTTTTGCGGCCCGCCGACGATAAACGGGCCCAGGCCGCCGATCTTGAGCTGGTTCGCCACCTGGCCTTTGGTCCACTTGCCGACACTCGGCGCCTGGTGCGCAAAGTTCTCCACGGCAGACTTGATCGCGTTGCTCTCTGCTGCGCGCAGCTCGTCCTCGTCGCCGAACGGACCGAGATCCATGCCGGTCCAGCCCCCAAAAAGCGCCAGCGCGCCCTCCGCGCTGCCGTGCGAAAAGTACTCTTCAAACTTCTCCTGAGCCTTCTCGTCCGTCGCAGCGACGATCGGCGCGAGGAGCGCGAGCACCTTGACGCTCAATGGATCGCGGCCAGCTGCCTTGGCGCCTTCGCGGAACTGGTCTACGCGCTTTTTGGCAAGCTCGGGCTTGTGCGCGGCAATGAAAATCACCTCGGCGTGCTTGGCGGCGAAAGCCATGCCCGCCCCAGAGCTGCCAGCTTGGAAGATGACCGGCGTCCGCTGCGGGCTCGGGTGCACAATGTGAGGACCGGGGATGCTCGAATAGTATGTGCCCTGCGTACAGACGATCAATCCAAGCACAAAAGGCTGTGAGCGAAAGACGGGTTCTCTGCAGCGGAGCTTGGAACTAGCTTTGAAGACATACCTTGTGGTTGACAGCACGCACGCGGGCAGGATCCGTGTAGACGTGCTTCTCGGCATCTAGCTTGAGGGCATCGTCGGCCCAGCTACTTTCCCACAGCTTGTATAAGACATCCATGTACTCGTGCGCGACCTCATAGCGCTTGGCGTGCAGCTCCTGATTCTTGGACCCAAATTGGCGAGCAGCAGAGTCAAGATAGCCCGTGACGACGTTGATTCCGACTCTACCTTTGGTGAGGTGGTCCAGCGTGCTGAACCGCCGGGCAATCAGGTACGGGTGCTCGTACGACGTGGTGGTAGTGATGCCGAATGTGAGGTTCTTGGTGACATGCGCCATAGCAGAGATCGTTTGGAAAGGGTCCGTCACCGGGAACTGAGCGCCTGAACGGAGCGCAGCGTCGAGATTGCCATTGTACACGTCATAGCCGCCGAGCACGTCCGCAAGGAAAAGACCATCGAACTTGCCCTTCTCAAGCACTTGCGCAAGGTCTGTCCAGTATTCCAGCTTGTCGAAATTGGCGCTCTTGTCCTTTGGATGAGAAAATAGGCCGGGGCTCTGGTGCCCCGAGCAGCTCTGCGAATGATTGACCGTGGGAGGGGTGGGGAGGGGCTTCGTCAGCCTCTGTGCTGTGCAGCTTGATCAGAAGACACCCGGCAACGCACCATGTCAAACGCGTAGAGAATCCACCTCTTCTGTCCTTGCGCCATTTTGGAACGTCTAATGCTTCGCCTAACCTTCTTCAAAATATCAGGACCTAAGGGGAGCGATTGAGGAAAAGTGTATTGGAATTGTTAGGAAGGGAGATATTAACAATCTCTTTACTGTGGATATATACAAAAAGGATGGAACATGTCCGATCGATGGCAACGCCAATGCCCACAATCACACCAGCGCAGCATGCATTCAGTGGGATGCAGATGGACTGCCTCTGGGTCAGGCAAGGATGCAGCACCCGGTGCAAAGAAATGGCAGCAGCGATGCCCAAAGGTGCCGCTGACAAGCTTTTTGTCCTCTCTTCGCTGTGAGGCACCAAAAAAGGAGAGGGGTGAGGGTTGGCGGGAAGGCGAGAACGAGACAGACGCTTGTTCCTCCCCAGCGCCAGCGGGGCAGCACGGAACACCTACCAGTCCACTGAGGAGGCTACGAACGCTTTCCCGCAAGCTTATTCGAAGGCTCTCGTTTCTGAAAGATAGCGTGCTCGCAGGGTTGATCGAGAGGTGGCATCAACTGCCCAGGGTCGCTTGTAGCACGCAATCTCGAGAGTAGGAAACTTGATCTAATCTTTAGGGGCCCTGTAAACATTACATAATCTCCCAGAGCTCTGATGGTCACGTGTTACGACGGTGCCTTGTCGCACGTGCGTCGCAATTCCTTCATGCTGCTGGCCTGTTGGCTGGCCAGGTGCTATCTACTACGTACCGCACTCTCGTCTTGTGGGCATGTCGGTGATGGCAGCCCCTTCAGTGAAAAGCGCTCGCGTTGCAGAAGTGCAGAGTCACACTGACTTGCCACCTAGCGCTTTATGCCGATGCAGCATTTTGGCTGTGCTATGCACGTGAAGCGATACATGATCGTAGCAATTCTCCCCTGTATGCCTTCTGGGGAGCTCTCGACATCTGCGTCGACTCATTCGACCAGTCACTCCCTTTGCTTGGGTGATGGTTCCAAAGTTTGTTTTACTCACCGACCGCCAGAATTCCGATTTGACACAAGTTGCAGCATGGTGGTTGGTGAAATCACGCGAGGCAAAGAGATTGTGCGCAATGTACAAAAGCCGTGAAACAGGGAGATGACGCCCAGGATCAACCATGCTCTTTCTGCTGCTGTAAGAATGCGCGGGAAGGCAATGTTGACGAGACTTGCAATGCTCAAGATGCATAGGGCCAGACAATCTCGAAGGTTGACAGAAGATCATCATGCAGGTAGGCGAAGTATGGGAGTCTGTTTTCATCAAACGAGTCAGACAGCCGAGCGAAGCTATTCGTATATTGTCCCTTATATAGACACTGAATTGAACCGGATAATTGAATATAAAGTGCGGTGCAGGAGGAAGGTGAGACGAGTCGAAACATGCTATATGGCAGAGTAGAGCCTGACGGATTGGGCTTACGGCTAGCTGGCCGGCGAGCGGGCAAACAGTGACGATGTGTGTGCCGGCCGGCCGGGCACAAGGGGCGGCCAATAAACAGAGCAGGTGAGAACGAAAGAAAGTAGGGGCCGAGGGCCGTCACGAGCGCCGCCCAGCGAAAGACCGCTCGAACCTGCCTGCCTGTCTGCTGGTTTGGGGGTAGCTTGCTTGGCTCCTCAATGCATCGACCGTCACCTGCATGTGGGTGCCTTAAATACTCTCGTCAATTGCACGGAAGGCGCCGCCGCGCTTCTGCATGTGCCTCTTCTTGACAGCGCCGCCATTGATCTGCGCGAGGAGCGTCTGCGCGGGCGCCGTGTCGCCGAGGAGCAGCTTAAGCGCCTTCGGGTTATGCTTCCTGATCTCCCTGCCAAGCGCGACGAGCTTGTCGAGAGCACCAGCGTTGACTGCGCTCAGCGGGTCGGACCAGAGCGTCGAGGCGTAGTACTGGAATTGCGGGATCGTGCCGGACGGGACGTTGGCGTCCTTGGCCGGCGGCGGCAGCAGTTTCTTGACGTCGACAGCGACCTCGCCGACGTCATCGCTGACAAAGTTGCGTTTGTGAGCAGCGGGCAGGTCTTTGATCTTGGAGAGCAGCGAGAGACCGGCAGCGTCCGTGCCGATCATTTTGGCGAGCCGGTCGACAGGAGTTCCATGTGAGAGCAGCTTGCTGGCGAGAGAGAGCACCTTGGAGACGTCTGCGTCCGATGAAAAGCCGTCCGCGCTCAGCACATGGTTCATGGCCAAGAGAAACTCCGGCACGAGGCCGATCTGCTGAGGCTTCTCGTGGGTCGCGTGCACGGACTGCCTGCGGAGGTTGACCGTGGTCTCGGTCGGTTCTGTGGTAGTGGGGTCGAGCAGCTCGCCGACGTTCAGACCGATCATCTTAAAGAGGTGCTGGCCCTTGGTGTCGGTGCCAACGATCTTGTTCAGTTTGACGCCCTGAGAGTGCAGCTTCTTGCCCAGAGCGGTCAGCTGGGCAATTTGGTCCGGCGAAGCGGTACCGTCAAAGTACTTTTGCTGTAGATCCAGGTAGGCCGGCAGGGTGCCGGGCGCAGCGAGGCCGCTCGCTGCCGCGACGGCGTTGACGGCGACGGCAGCCAGGATGACGAATGTGGATTTGAACTGCATCTTCGTGTTTTGTGTCTGTGTATGCTTTGGATAAGATGATAGATAAAGGGCAAGTCGGTGGACAGGCGAAAAGGCGCTGGAAAGCTTCTGCCGCAAAGCTAGAAGCTGAGTGTGAGGCAAAGAGTGTAGTCAAAAGAGCGAGTAGGATGCGGCGAGGTATGTTGAGCCAAACGCACGCAGACTGTACAAGGCGATGGCGGGGGGGGGGGGGGAGGGAGGGTGGTGCGAATAAAGATGGAGGTTGGAGATACAAAGTAAGAAGGTCTGATCAACAGATCAAATTGTGATGAATGGATACGAACGAGGGGGACAGGAGGTTGGAGTGACTACGAGCAGAAGGTGGTGACGGCGTTTTGCTCGCCAGAACTTGTGGTTGGTGGTGGTGGGTGCCACG